AGTAGTTTGAGAAGTTTCTATCAATGTTTTGATACTGTATTTCTGCCATGAAACTATGTTACTATTGGAGTACAGTGTATTTGACATAAATTCAAGCTGACCACAGCGGCTGTTCTCTAAACGAGGACACGACCAACAACAAGAGCCACCTTTCTAGCCCGTAAAGTTAAAGCATACTAAAGCATAGATTTTAGAGAGTTGTAGTTGGCAGCGTTTAAAGATGTTATTTTACTACATTATGAATATCTGCTTTACTTGAAATTACTTTTGGCCCAGAAATAAAGAAACAATTCTTCTAAATATTAAGCGAAGAACACAACCAACACGGTTTCATGCATATATACATGGATTACTTCACCTATGATTGTGCATCCTCCACATTAAGTGATAATCCTCTCTAAATGCTAAACTCACACTGCTTTTAGTCCTGAGATTTTAACAGTTTATTTTTCAGTGGCAGTGAATGGAAAGAAATGTTAATATATCATTTTAATTTACAGAAAGAGCCTCAAAGGGTAGCATTACAGTGACAGAATTTAAAATGCTATTGCGTAGCTTCATTAAACCACAGGTTTATAATGATAAGCCAGCACCAGACCTAGGTTATAGAATAAATGGCTTGCTGGTACACGATAAAGGGTAACAAGGACGCTTGAACTAGTCTTTCAGCAGGATGCAATAGGCTTGAGGGACGATTTTCCCCCGTACCATGACTCAGAATGGTTGCAATTTCACTAAAATACACTAATGTAGTACATGTTATTCATGGTTAGGAAGAATTTGCTTTTCTTTGTCATCTCTCATTGTCTGAATGTACAGAGTCAGGAAATGAGAATCCTAGTGATAGACAGCGGTAGGATTATATCTACTCTCTCTGTTTGTTAAAGCTTGTCCTTCCTGTAATTATCTTAAATCACACACACACACACACACACACACACACACACACACACACACACACACGCACTCACACACTCAGTGCGGCATTTTTCAGCTCTACAAGGGGAAGTTTCCTTGAACCCTTACACTCACTGTACAAATATTTGATAAGCCTTTGATGTGTTTGTGTAAATTTGTGGTTGAATTTTCACTATTTGTCATAGCCAAACATAATACATCACATACAGACAGCAGGCGTCTTCGTATACTTGACACAGTCTTTTATTAGTATTATTCTGTGTCTTAATCTTAATCTTGCAGGATTTGGGTGTTCTTGTAAACTAAAGCAAGCATCTTTTTGTGTTGGGGGTTGCGCAGCTTCCCACGCACCCGACAAGCCCCGAGAATGGCCATTTTGACTGTCACGATCTGAGTCATCACATAGCAATAGCATTGCTTACATGTCATGAACATTCAGTTTTCAGTAATTACTACATCAGCTGCCTTTGAATCATTTTTATTATTGCGCAGGCCTACTTAAATCTGTAGAAGCTTGAGACCGAAGATGTTTTCCTGGTGACAGTTAAACCTCACTCTCGCTTCTGCCTGTGGACAATCATGTTTGTTATGTCTGTTTGTCTGTTACCTCCACAATTTCCAATAAGGGCAGATAGGAGGGGAGGTGTCTTATGTGTTGCTGACTGATCAGGATCAGGTCGGGTATTCAGAAAATGCTGGAAAACACATGTGAAAACACATGCCTGGTTGATTTTCCCCATCACAGCATTTCGCTTGCTATGTGCGTGATGTTGTAAGGTCCCATCTGTGTTCAACTTCACAGCCAGCTGTAATCACCTTAGATAAATGTTGAGGCTAAATTGAATTTTCTTAAGCTGCAGGTTGCTCCAATGGATGCCATATACTAGTTTGATACAGAAAATCAAAAGTCTGTACTACATGAAAGAAGAAAAATCTCCTTCTGCTCAAGAGGTTTGAGAGGTCTGTCCTCTAGAACTAAAGAAAATACAAATCATGTTTTAGTCGTAGACATAGACATTTCCCCTCTAAAAAAATAAAAAATAAAATGCTTCTTTGCAGCCACCATTGCAGAGGGACCCTAAATATAACAACGTCATAATGTCTCAAAGCATTTCTGTAAGCGACAGAATCACCCAGAGGTCTATCATAATCGCAGGAAGCCAAAGAATGCAGAGGCAGGCTGGCCAAATATCATGGTGACGGCGCCAGTGTTTTGATTAGACCCACACAACTTGTTTGTTTTGATGCCTGTTTGCATCTTGTCATATTACCACCGGCCAAACACAAGATATGACTGCGGGTGGTGGGTTAATCCGTGCGATCAGGCTTTTTTATTTAGTTTTAGGATTAGACTTTGTCAGGAATAATTTGTTTGTGTGAATTTATAGCAGTTTGTTAATGTGTATGCATCTGTCTTAAGAAACATCAGGGGGCGTTTGTGGAAAATTCCATAAGTATTCACTCTCTGTGTAATATGGGAAATATAAACCAATTTATATCAGTATGTCTGTGCAATACCACAGCTTCAAATTACTGTACGTCTGTGTGTGGGTTTCATACTGAAACCAAACCAACTGGCTGTGTGTGTCTGTGTGTGTCTGTGTGTGTGTCTTTGTGTGCGCACAAGTGGGAGGAATACCAAAACTTTAGCGTGTGGTGTTTTTTTTTTTGTTTCAACTTTGAATCTTTCTTGCTGTAGGACCTTGTCATTGCTACTATAGTTCATCCACTACTGAACCCAAAAGCATGCACTCAAGGATGCTCCACCGTGTGTTTCTCTGCCCGTGGTGGCCCTGTGACTCACGCTGACTGGAAGCCATTTCTGGAAGGGAGATGAAAGCTGGAAAACACCAACCCTGCCCACTCTCTAATCCTCCCACTCCCTGCTATCCTCCTCCTACTTGCCGACTTCACCAGGACCATCACAGGACAGAAAAAGTGCTCTGGGTAACAGAAAACCCTCTTGAAATGTGTATCAAGGACTTCTTGAATGGGTTCAGTCCTGAAATTGACTGAATTAGGACAGATCCCAGTCTGTGGTAGACAAGCTTATTTCTGTAGGCTTAATGAAGATTTACCAGAATATCTGTCTTCCCTCTTTTTGTCACTCTTGTGTGTGAAATTGGGCTTACCTCACAAGTTTCACTGAGGGCCCAGAGGGAATTACCATAACAAAAGTTTGTGTGCACATAGTTTTGTGCGAGAGGGGCAGCCGTGGCAGGAATTCCAGACTTTCTCATCTTTTTCACCATTTTATCCCAGCAGGCTATTTCAAACATGAGGCCTTCACCCTCCATCAACCCTGTTAGCCTCCACTCCAGAGCCCACCAGAGGCGAAATAGAAAAAGAGAGCAAGGGCAGAAAGCACATACTTCCAAAGCCTGACTGTAAACAAACAGGGTGGCTCATGTTGTCTGCCGTTACCTCACAGACGGTTTCTGTTCTGTAGTGGGCAGGTTTTTATGAACTTCCCCTCAGCAGGGCCTGCAACCCCAACATCACCCACACATGTGAGCCTATGAGTCAAATCGGCGATGAATCACTTTCAACTATGACTCTCATTTATCAATGACACATATGGGGTAGTTTTTTTTGGTAGAAACTGGGGGAGTAGATCTGAAAACAAAATGAAACAGTTGAAGCCACAGAGGTAGAGGGGGGCATAAACAAAATTACACTTTCCAGGCAAACGGAGAAGTCTCATCTGAGTTTTTGTGTAAAGATGACAATTGCTTAGTGATAGCAAAATGTACGATAATGTCATAAGTTCAATCCAAACATTGTACTGGCACGTCAGCGAAGCTGTTTTTTGTGTGATGTGGAAGGCAAGCCTCAGCAGACCCAAAAATAGCACTGACATGAGTGTGGCACATTAAGTTGAACAGAACAGAACTCGCTGTTTCTGGATCAAAGTGACTCATGTCTAAGACATCTAATGTTCTTTGTGGGAGTCATATCGCTTTTAGAACAAATGTCAGAACTGTGTAACCTGGTAAATAGATTGTCAAACACATGTTCTGTACTGAGTAGCACTGCACGATTAACAGTCATTAATGTTGCCCTGTGTTGGTCTATTGTTGAACTATTCCAGGAGCAAGTGGGAAGCAGTCTGTTTTTTTTTTTAGTTTAACCACTATGCATTGATTTTTGTCTACTGTCCTGAAGTAGTACAAGCCTATCAAGAAAATGGTCTACTCACTATTAGAGGTTACATCATCTGAAATGAGAGTGCAACGATATCTTTCAGTCATTTTCACATCTGTTATCTGAGAGGGCAACAATTCTTACTTCCACCACAGTGAAACTAAATAATTGGAGTAGAAATGCTCTCTGATAAAGTCACATTATTCAGTTCTTGTATTACAAATAAATGTGACCATGATGCTCATGGTATTATTTGGAAGGCAGAACAGCTGTATCGACACATTGTGAGGATTTGTCTTGCACCACAAATCAATGTACTTCCTGTTTCAGATGCTGTATATATGGTCAATGCACCCAAGTCGGTGTGTGTTGTGTGTGTTGTGTGTGTTGTGTTGTGTGTGTTGTTTAAAATATTGGAGTGAGATGTGTTTATTTTTGGTGTTTCCCCCACACAGCACCTTATCTTGACATTTGGAATTTCACATTTGTTTCCACGATGAGGCACTTGTTACATTGTTACAGTGCTTTTTACCAACCAGTGCTAATCTTACAGTTCTAACATTTTTATAATGCCATAGTTTCCCTTTTTTTTCTATAGAGCCCAACACATTTTCTCTTTTTCTTATATTTTGGAGTGCCTGGATTGCCTTTCAGTTTGTCCATTTCTTTTTTATACATAAGCAATACATATTGTTTTGGCAAAGATATCTTAAATTTGGGTATTAAATTGTTGTGACAAAGATATCTACTGATCTACTGATAAAATATTATAACACATCTAGTAAATTTTAAACTATGACAGGCCAGTATTCGTCATTGTCATCATGCTGATGGATCACTCGAGCTTTACATATTGTGTTTAATATAACATAACTTGAATGACCTGAATACGGGGCAAGTTTTCTTTAACATTCATCCTCCTCTCCTTGTCCTCTCAGGAGCCGTTGGGGCCCAGTCCCTGTTCTCCATGCCTCGGCGGCCTGGCTATGGCACCATGGGGAAGCCCATCAAGCTACTGGCCAACTGCTTCCAGGTGGAGATCCCCAAGATGGATGTCTACCTCTACGAGGTGGACATCAAGCCTGACAAGTGCCCACGGCGAGTCAACAGGTAGGTTGAACCCTTTGAATAGTATCTTTAAAACTTCTCATACACCTTTCTCAGATACAGTATTTACATTTCGAAATAGGCATTTAACTGATATCTAATATAGATTATCTTGCTGTGAGAGTCTTACCTAAGAATAAATGGGTCTTGCTGGGTTGAATTTAATGATTTGTTGATAATAACAGTTGATTTGACAGTTTAAACTCATTTTTGTCTTAAAAAGTCAGCATATTACAACTTACAGTACAACTGAAACTCAGTTTGTGTGTTTGTTGTGCAGGGAGGTGGTTGACTCTATGGTGCAGCACTTTAAGGTGACAATCTTTGGGGATCGCAGGCCAGTCTACGATGGAAAGAAGAGCCTGTACACAGCCAATCCACTACCTGTGGCACCCGCAGGGGTGAGCTGGAAAAAAGACACAGACACACATAAAAACACGTTTCGCTTCTACACAACCTGAACGTAAATCATATCAGACTCAAATACATAAAACTTAAGCAACCACCACCTGAAACCTACCTCCTTAAATGCACTATGCTTTGATTTAACCTTTTTTGTCCTGCCTTGTCCTCCTTTCTTTCCCCTACTCAGGTGGACCTGGATGTCACTCTGCCAGGTGAGGGAGGGAAAGATCGCCCCTTTAAAGTTTCCATCAAGTTTGTGTCTCTGGTCAGCTGGCACATGCTCCACGAGGTGCTGACTGGCCGCAGCATGCCTGAGCCTCTGGAGCTGGACAAGCCCATCAGCACTAACCCTGTACACGCCGTGGATGTGGTGCTGCGACACCTGCCCTCCATGAAGTGAGCATGAATTAAGTTTTTTCAAGAAAGGTTTAGGCTTCAATCTTTTAACGACAGCCGAATGCCCTAATTTTAAAGAATGCTTTTAAAAGGGTTTAACAACAGACCCAGTTATAAGGAAACAGAAAACATTATCCTTACCAATCACCCCCACCTCCATCTTTAGTGAGCAAACATAATGTCAAAAGATAAAAAAAAACATGATCCCTCTCATACTCATAGTAGATGCTATACATTTGTTTTGTAACAGTGTCAGAGTAACACTAATATCAGCTCTCTGATCCCAGCGGAAATCAAAAAAAGCTCATATGGGCTCTCATGAAGCGCCATACTTAACCTTGTACAATCTTCCACTCAATATCACTTTCAAAAGCTCCAGCAAGAACACAGTCAGACACAATATCACCAGTGCTTTAATGAAAATCTTTTTCAAAATATTATTAAAAAGGTAAAGGTATTAAAATGGTCATATCGACACCTTTCATTTAGCTCAGTTCACAGCCCGGGTATTGCAGTGGCATCGTGACACAATGTCAGTCCAGGATTCACCAAGAAAAATGTATCCCGTGTGTAATTATTAATGTGTCTCCTTGGCAGAGTAATAAGAGGTCGATGGGTCCAGGCAGTGTCACCACCCTCTCATTTTGCTGATGTAGTTTGAGGCAATATTGAAGAGCAGCTGAATGTGACACCGCATAAACACATATTGACCTACATTCTCTATTCAGGATGTGTGAACTAATCTTACAGTTCCTGTCATCATTTGCCCTTTCCTGTTTGTCCTGAGTTCTCCTTCTCATCTTGCCCTTTTTTCAGGGCCTTTGATGGTTTTAAACTTCACATTACCCTTTCATTCCTTCAGTCTATTTGCTCTTTTCTCATAATAGCTACTTTTCTCCATCTAGGTACACTCCGGTGGGTCGATCCTTCTTCTCGGCTCCAGAGGGCTATGACCATCCTCTGGGAGGTGGGAGGGAGGTTTGGTTCGGCTTCCATCAATCCGTGCGCCCTGCCATGTGGAAGATGATGCTTAACATTGATGGTGAGAACCAAATTCCACCTTGCATTTATTTTGCTGCAATTGCACCTCAGGGCTACAATATGGCCTCACAGCTGCAGCAATGCATATTGCTTACTGCCTCAAACACAGGAAGAACTATGTTTGCTAATACAGCCATATTCCAAAAATATGTCCACGATGTTTTCAGTCTTTGTTTAAAAAAATAAATATACAATACATACAGAAATCTTCTGTTCCTCTTTCACAGCCAGGAAATGAGATTTTAATAATTAAACGGATAGATTAGAATGACATGGAGGCTCCACGATGCAGGCTATTTTTAGATATTTGTGCATGATCAATTTACCTTCAGTGATGTTATGTTTGAGGAGATCTGTTTGAGCTATATTTAACATAAATCTAACTTGTCAGTGTCACACTCACTAGGAAGCTATTTCATTGCTGTTGAATGAGGTCTGCAAGATAAGGCTTTTTCATCTTCGTGGATGCTGAGGTTGTGGCGCTGTGCCGGGGAAGCAAATCTTTCTTTATGAAGCAGCACACCTTCCGTTAGCTTGAGAGTGAAACTTCTAGATATATTTTCTTTTTCTTTAGGTGTTTTTTTTTTTTTTAAATACAATTAGACTTTAAAACTACTTGCTGCCGATATCGCGTGCAAAGGCTGTTGAATGAGTTAAGCTTTACATGGTGATGGCATTGCTTCTACTTTGACATCACACGTTAATTAGCTGTCGACTAATTTGTCAGAACAGAGCCAGTTATTCTGGTTGAGAGCCAGTTTTTCGGAAACTAATAGAGTGGTTCAAGATGTAGCTCGGTAATTAGCTTTAGCACTGCCTTCCTGTCAGTAGAAAAAAACTGTTTGATGACATGGAATACTACAATTCCAATCTGTTGTTATTTGTGGAAAATAAGTGTCAGAAAGGGTGGCGGAGAATGTGTTTTGCCATATGCACACTGCAGGAGGTTGTTGGAGACCAAGTCACTTGGAGGAAGGTGGGTTCTTGGCTGGATGGGAACTGAGTAGTTGGTTGCTGTGGAGACTGAGGGCAGCGTGTGTGTGTGTGTGTGTGTCTGTGTGTCTGTGTGGTTGTGCCTGCATGAGTGAGACTGGTGGGTGTTGCTGGGGTCAGGAGGGTAGCTGTGTGGAGCATTTCCTTGAGACAGCTTTTGTTGTGCTCTGAGTCCTTGAAGGCTCTGTCTGTATTTGAACGTTTCCCTCTCTACTCTCTGTTTCTCTCTTTGTCTCATTTTCCCGCCCTCTCATCCTTAGAAATCAATTGGTCGGCTCAAGTCTCTTGTCCGCTCTCCAGCAACAAAGTAGAAGTCCAAGTGTTTGCAAAGTATTTGTTTTCTTCTTTAATTCTTCTGTACAGCATTGTGTATTGGCAAAGCAAACTATTAAGCCTGTTTGAATACATGTGCATGAAGCACAATAAAAACTGCTTCCCATGCTCTGCATCAGGGGTGATCAAAAGAGCATGTACAAAATAATTGTAATTGTTGATAATATAGAGAAATGAGACCATTCAATTTTACATTTGCATGAATGACTCAGAAACACTTCCAAACACACAGAAATTACAATCACAGTGTGTGTGTGTGGGGGGGGGACAATTAGGAGTGATGTCACTGTCTGCAGTGAAAGGCTCTTACCTCTCACAGGGGAAACCAGAGGTGTAAGAGAGTGTTTGTATGATGCAGTCTTCTGTCATCTTGTTAGGCATCACTCATGGATGTGCGCTTGCAGTGCTTTCATCAAAAGCACCGTCAGAGAGAGGTTTCTTATGTTTAAAACAGCAACAACAGAGACAGATTATTCGTCAACAACTTCCTTAACACCACATTCTCTCCATCTCTCTGTCCATTTTTGGATTTCTTTTGATCTTGCTTTCCTTTACTCATACCTGTTCTTGTTTCCCTTGTTGGATTTTAATTTCTCTCTGATGTTTTATGTCTTGCTCTGTGTCATCTATAAGATTTTGATTTCTCAGTCCATTATTGAGAGGATGCATCATATCAGAAGAAAGGGAACTTTGTGCTGCATGAATTGCACTTCCTGTCTTCAATGAGTTTTCCTACATCATTTAGTGTGTTGGGCCGACTACGTAAACATTATGGGATAATCCTCTACGAGAGCTTCAGAATTTGGGTGCATTGCACATTCAAGAACACATATTCCATCCCTGTATTACAGTTCATCTGGTTCTTGTGTCAGTTTGTTGTGTGTGAATTTTAAAGTGAATACCATTTTGAACATAAAGAAAGTAAAAAATATTAATGGAGTTGTTAAGAAAGCCTTTAATTTCCTTTTACTGTCTTGAGTCTTGCACAATGCCTAACAAAATGCCCATCGACCTACAATGTCGACTCAGAACTGTTTTACTGCATAAACATTTTTAATTTCTGTTCAGTTTCTCAGGCAGGCACTCAATGTAATAACATCCAATTTAAACTATGATGTAACTGCCAGTGGACAAGTTGTTGTCGTTCAGTGTTATAGTGTAGTGTTATAGTAGATTATTTTGTTGTCATTGTTTTTTGCCTTCAATGACTCTTGCTTTATCTTGCAGTCTCTGCCACCGCTTTCTACAAGGCCCAGCCTGTCATCCAGTTCATGTGTGAAGTGCTGGACATCCACAACATAGACGAGCAGCCTCGCCCTCTCACAGACTCACACCGGGTCAAATTCACCAAAGAAATCAAAGGTGACAACGAGTGTGTAAAATGTGCCTGTGTGTGAGGAAGAGAGTTAAATCAAATGAATAAAAGTGCATTGTTGTGTGCGTGGGTGAGAGAGAGCATTTAAACAGGACCAGGGAGAGCACACGTCGCAGCCATTCACACACACACATTCTCAATGCCACTCCAACGCTTTATATTATTCACCAGGTTTAAAGGTGGAGGTGACGCACTGTGGAACCATGCGGAGGAAGTACCGTGTCTGCAACGTGACCCGTCGGCCTGCCAGCCATCAAACGTGAGTCAGCCTCCGGGCGGGCGAGGGAACAGGAGACTCTGGGCGGAGTGTGTGGATGGGATGGGGGCAGGAAACACGCACCGCAGAGGATGCGATCACCAATTCACCACAAAACAAACCAGATAATAGCTGACTCATCTGACAACCATGCGGTGAACGTTAGTCATCCGTTAGTGAAGTAGCAGTTGTGTGCAGCTGCTGATCTTAAGAGTTTGTCATCCAGAATAGAAAACTTCACTTTGTGTTATCCTTTACATAGCGTTACATCACCATGTGGCCATGAAAAAGGATGTCTATCCATGGCAACGGATGTTTAGCCATATGCTATTAAAATACTAAGAATAAAGCTATATAATGATGTTTAAATAGTGATTGAGAGGTTTGACTGTAGATGGCTGCACACTTGTAAAGTATAAAGTATTTTATAGTGCGTGCTATCGCTATGATTTTATACACAGTGATTGATTACATTCAGTTAAATCAATCTAATTTACTTGTTTACTTGTTGTCAGCAGCGGTCTAGTTTTTGACATTTCTCTTTCTTTACAGGTTCCCTCTACAGTTGGAAAATGGTCAGACTGTAGAGCGTACTGTAGCCCAGTACTTCAGGGAGAAGTACAACCTGCAGCTGAAGTACCCACATTTACCCTGTCTACAGGTGGGCCAGGAGCAAAAGCACACCTACCTGCCCCTCGAGGTGAGAGAAAACAAGTTGCTTTTTCTCTCTTTTTTATTTTTTTATTTGGTTTCAATTTAAACATAAAGTATGAAAAAATCTGCAGTGTATGGTATACTGGACAGCTCCCAGGTGTGCCTGTGTATCAACTGTATAAATAAGAAGCAGGGCATCTGCAAGTATGCCCAGAACATTTTTTGCTGGGTAAATGATAACTCCAACTTTTGCCTTTGTTTTCTTGCAGGTGTGTAACATTGTAGCTGGTCAACGGTGTATAAAGAAGCTGACGGATAATCAGACCTCCACTATGATCAAAGCCACAGCTCGCTCTGCACCCGACAGGCAGGAGGAGATCAGCAGGCTGGTGAGTTAGACACCTGCTGAGTAGTATGGTTCATTGTTTCCATTATGAATTTTCTTACTAAAAATAGAGTAACAGAAAAACAAAAACAAATAGTATTTCATACGTATATGCGTCTGTGTAGTCTGCAGAACATCTTGCTATGTTGTACAGTGCCCTAAGCACGCACTGTCAGTCAAGTTGTTAGGTTTAGGTTATATTGTACATGGATGAAAGTTGGACTGGAACTTTAAAGGAAGTGTGGACAGAACAAAACTGTGCCTGGATGGCTACAGGACGTATCTGTACCTATGGAGATCTAATATGTTGAAATCTTAGATTGAGTATGTAGAATATTTTAGACTTCAGCAGTATATGTTGATTTCACCATGTTACATTAGAGTTATGTATTGGTAAGCATCTGGAAAAACAATATGTATCGCAATACAGGGGTTACAGTTCAATATATTGAGATTTGTTTTGGGGGGGGGTTATGTAAATGTTGTCATAATATAAAAAAAAACGCCACCATATCTATAAAATATGAATTAAAAAAGTATGCAACCAGAACAGTGGCATCTGCATTTGTATTTATTACAGTCGCTGTCACATCCAACATCATAGCCCTTTGTTTACACTTACAATACTGCAATATAACGGTCGGGGGTTTAAACACAAAAATCTATAGTGTTTTTGAGAATGGATACATTATTTTCTTACAACCATAATTTGGATAGCCATTCAGTTGGACAGACGACGGCTTTATGAAATGCTGGAGTTGCTAAGCTTGTCAACACTTGGTTGCTATGCTGCTCATCTTTATATAAAATAGCTTGTTTTGTAATCCCCTCTCCCAGATTCTCTTTTTATGTTGTTAACGGAGGCATGTCAGTATGCTTGTCCATCGCATTTGGCAATTACAAGGCAGGCCTACCGAGGGTCAACAAAATGCCAGAGTCGTAATGGCTTTAATGTGTGTGTCTGTGTGTGTGTGTGTGTGTGTGTGAGGTTGCTACAGTGTCTGCAGCGTATTGTTTATGGAAAGATTGACAGACTGTACACTGCCTCTGGCCACCATCAGATTAGCAGTGCACATTTAGTACCTGTTGTTGCCTTATTAAACCATGTTTCCCTATCTCTTCACTTAGGAGCAAAGTGGCTGGACTTGGCTTATAGGAAATCATTGTAGACATCACTGGTGGTGTTTTGATTTAGATGCACAGAGGTTGAGAGATAGAAAATGACAAAACAAGCAAATAAGCTGTGTCTGTCAGAACTACATAATGAATTCTATAATAAATTTGGATATTGTGCCAGCTGGGCTGATCATGTGCCCTGTGCTTGTAGTCATTTTGGATTACTGTGCTGGCACCTGACATTTTTTGGCATGTCACCATTCTTCCTATCGACCAACAACTTAGACAGTATAATAATGAAAACAATGCAAATGCATAAAGGAAAAATAATAATAGCCAAACAGATGCCAGGACAGCAAGTACAGACGCAATGCCTCATTAAGATAACAAGCATAGGCATAAGGTCTATCTAAAACAATGATGGCACAAGCACTTGGCTAGAGGCAAACATTGTCAACATCACATTTTTAATGTAATGCCCACTCAGCTACTGCTACACTTTGGCTTCATTCTGTAAAGAACTGTATCCTAATATACTAACTGTGACCTACTGTACAACATCTGAGAACTAATCCTCTACACTGGTAATTCACAACAACTCAATAAATGAAGTCCTCTTCTAAATTGAGCTGATGCTAAAGGATTTGTTTGACTTTTTGACTTTTTGACGTTTTGCTTTTAGATGAGAAGAACAATACAGTACCTGCACCCGCTCACTAATTAACACATTATATCTTGTTAGTTTGAACTGAAGTGTAAATGTGAGCCATTATTCCTTTAACCAAAACAAGCCACAATGAGTGAGCATGTAAGAAAGGCCTCAAGAGAACACATTACTGTACATGTTAACCTTTTAAATAGTGCTTTACATCATGCTGTCATTAACTACCGTGGCCTGATGTCTAATTTTCCCGCCCCCTTTCCCTGCAGGTGCGTAGTGCCAACTACGAGGCAGACCCTTTTGTGCAGGAATTCCAGTTCAAGGTGCGCGACGAGATGGCCCATGTGACGGGGCGAGTGCTACCCGCCCCCATGCTGCAGTACGGCGGCAGGGTGAGCACAGAGCACTTTATGGTACCCTTCCTTTAAATCACGCCCATTCTCTCTGTTTGTCTGACACGCTCTCCCCTTCCTCCAGCCTTTATTGTCTCTAAGGGGAACTAACTCACTGGCTTCTGTTTGTACTTCATGATGTCAGTCTTTTTGGCTTATTTTTTGTGGTTGAGTCTCAGAAGTGCGAATTTTAATTGTACCTTAAAAGCGTCTGTGTTTTTGAGAGAAACGTACAGGAGGGGAAGATTTTGTCCCCCTGCTACAAGGTATTTTTTGATGAAACAATTAAACAGTGCAATACTCATGATTGCCAAAAACCTTGCCAGCATTTGCCCAATGTTAATTTTCCTGGGTGAAGTAAAGAAGAGGTTGGTTGGACAGGCTTCCACAAATTGGATAAAGAAGTAACTTTTTGAGACTGAACCACATTGTCGATTAACATCTGTCTGTTTAACTTGAGGAGACACACTTTTACTATTGTACGTTTGGTGTGCATTACTGAGAACTATGACACCATTATGCACACTATGTTGTGTGCGATACACACACCAAATTGCATCTAGCAAACTATAGATTTCATCACACAGTGCAGACCACTCTCTTTGCAATAAAATTCAAGGTTCACACTTGATGACCACTTTGTTAATTGATTTGAAAGTGAAATGTTTCTCTGGTGCAAATGCATGTTTTCTATGACCAGCCCTTTTTTCAATATGTGAATTTATGTCCAAAAATGAGTGTTAATACATTTTGGTATGGATGAAGAGTGTGTGTGGGTTCTGTGGGTTTTCAGAAAGTAAGTGTGTGCTTGTGTGTGCTTGTGTGTGCTTGTGTGTGCTTGCGTGTGCTTGTTTGTGCTTGCGTGTGCTTGTTTGTGCTTGCGTGTGCTTGCGTGTTCTTGCGTGTGCTTGCGTGTGTATGTGAGTGCGTGCACACTTGTCTCGTCTCGTGTTTCTGCCTGTTCAAGTGAGAGTTTGTGTGAACAGTATGAACGTGAGTGTTTGCCCACATAATCATGAGTACATGTGGTGAGACTGCAATGTTGTTTCAGAACCGCACTGTAGCCACACCCAGCCATGGGGTGTGGGACATGAGGGGGAAACAGTTCCATACCGGGGTGGAGATCAAGATGTGGGCCATCGCCTGTTTCGCCACACAGAGGCAGTGTCGGGAAGAAATCCTAAAGTATGATTATTTACATTTATTTAAGTTTTCTAAAATCCTTTTCTGAGATTTTGTTGTTACCATTTGTGCATTGATGATGCTCATTTAAGTATATTAATGATAGTTTACAAGACTTTTGTTAGATTACTGTTAGTTAATGTTGTAAGTCGTTTAATATATTTGTCTTTTTCATTAGTCTGTCATAATGTTTAAGATGATTTTATTAGTGTGTGTGTATATATATATTTTTGACTCCATAAATAGTAATTTAACTTATCTCAGCAGTTTGCAGATTGTGTCTCTACAGTGAATCTCACAATTTGATTCGATTTTAGGTCTTTACTTTACTAGCTAATACCACAGAAACAGTGCACATTCATAAAGAATAACTGTAACTATGTCAGAGGTAGAGAACAGGATTGTTAAACGTACGCTAAAAACTGCAAACTGCCTTATGCTGAATCACAGAGATTCTGACACCTACATTGAAAAATGCAGTGATGTATATAAATTAGATTTTTGGCATTGTAGGATACAATAAAAACAGGGTTAAACATTCATTGAATATGGAAAATGTACAGAACAATTTGTCAGACATCTATATACCATTTGCTGTTTACAAGCAGCTATGTTTTATATGCAGACCATTTTTGCAGGTCCATGCTTTTTTCCGTGCAAAGAAGGCACAAGCTTGCAGCTTTGATTGTAGTTGACGTCACTAGTTCTAATGACTCTTATTCTTCCCTCCTGCCTCTTCCTCGTATAGGGGTTTCACAGACCAGCTGCGCAAGATCTCCAAGGATGCTGGGATGCCCATCCAGGGCCAGCCATGTTTCTGTAAATATGCCCAGGGAGCCGACAGTGTGGAGCCCATGTTCAGACACCTGAAGAACACCTACGCCGGACTGCAGCTCATCATCGTCATTCTGCCGGGAAAGACTCCTGTCTATGGTTAGAAAAAAAACAGCTTAAAAAAAAATATTATACTGGAATCCAGAGATATGCTTGTGGTTAATACTGTGTGGAAACACTAATGCTATTCTGGTATTGAGTGCTGGTGCAATATTCTCAGCTTCCCAAATGTCTGTCAATGAAAGACCCATATTGAGGAGAGTGTTATATTACAAATTATTCTTTCCAGTGACTGCCGTATCTTGAATTTACTGAATTTCTTTGACAGTTACTTATGAAGCTTTGAATCACATTACTGATCGTAGGTTGAACGGTATTCCACTGCTTTCCTAAATTATTGACTTTGAGAACTGATATCAAGATTATAAAGCTTGTGCTACCTTTGTAATTTTAGAATTGTAAAAATCTTAAAGGTTTGCTTATTTTTATGCTCACTTTTTGTAACCACCCACAGCGGAAGTAAAGCGTGTGGGGGACACCCTCTTGGGCATGGCCACACAATGTGTCCAGGTGAAGAATGTGGTGAAGACGTCACCTCAGACCCTCTCCAACCTCTGCCTGAAGATCAATGTGAAGCTGGGAGGCATCAACAACATCCTGGTACCTCACCAACGGTCAGTCATGCCCTCCTTCTCATATATGCTGTAGTGTAGTGATGCTGGTTTTGAATGGCTACTCATAGCTTGGACTGTTGCGTCAGAATATGACTATTTGTCACATGTACACATGAGATTGTCTCTCAATCTTTTTTATGTCTCTCAATCAATAGACCATCAGTGTTTCAGCAGCCAGTTATCTTCTTGGGAGCAGATGTCACACATCCACCTGCTGGAGATGGGAAGAAGCCATCAATTGCAGCAGTGAGTTCTTCATATTCCATCTGACCTATCGGTTGAATTTATTAACTTATGATTAAGTGGTATTGACTGACATGTCCATCTGATTTTTTCCCTCTTTCTTTCTCTCTTGCACTACTCCCCTCTCTCTTTTAGGTGGTAGGCAGTATGGATGCCCACCCCAGCAGGTACTGTGCCACTGTGCGGGTCCAAAGGCCCAGGCAGGAGGTAATCCAGGACCTGGCCTCCATGGTGCGGGAATTGCTCATCCAGTTTTACAAGTCGACCCGCTACAAGCCCACCAGGATCATTTTCTACAGGGATGGAGTTTCAGAAGGCCAGTTCAGACAGGTCAGCTCCCACTTTCTTTCACAAAATGATTGGTTGGAGGCAGAGAGTTGAGTTTGGCTTGCAGAGTTTAAAGTACAAAGTATGTACATGGGATTTTCTTCAAGGATAGTTTTTTTATAAACATTTGAAGCTGATCTTCTTTTCTTCTTCTTCTTTCTTAGGTGCTGTATTATGAGCTGCTGGCCATTCGTGAGGCCTGTATAAGCCTGGAGAAGGAGTACCAGCCAGGCATCACCTACATTGTTGTGCAAAAACGCCACCATACACGCCTCTTCTGTGCCGACCGCAATGAGAGAGTGAGTCCCCACCAGTCGCACACACAAACTCTTTTTAAGTACGACACAGCGATGGTCCCCATTAAAGTCAGTACAGTGTGTTATGTGCTAGTCCATATTCTTTTTTTTTTTATATGCTCTGTGCCAGCACGTTAAGTACTCGAAATGAGTCTCCTTAATTACCTTTTGTTGTCAATTGGACTGTTCACCCTCCTAACCCCTGTAATTACCTTCGATTAAAGCATTAGGGCCCAGTGCAAACCGAGAGCTCTGGAGTGGCACTCAAGGCCCCAAGAGTAAGACTCAGCTAGTAACAGCCTTATTTTCAGTGCAGTCACTCCAGTACTGAGCATTAGGCTTTTAATTGGTTGATTTGGAAGCACTCGGTAAACCTTTGCCTGGGTCAGTCTATCAACTAGTTCTTTTTTCATTTAGTGGTTTAAAAGCTTTGTTCTCCGCTGCTCTTTTCCTCCATCTTCCATTTTCTGTTCAAGTTGTTTTTGTTGTCAAGGTAATACATGGAAAAGATAGCCAAAAGCCATTAGTAGGGACTAACTGACTGTAACTTTGCTTTTGCCAGGTTGGACGTAGTGGAAACATTCCTGCCGGTACTACCGTGGATACGGACATCACGCATCCGTACGAGTTTGACTTTTACCTCTGCAGTCACGCTGGAATACAGGTCAGACCAACCTCTTGTCTTCTCTGCCCGGCCTGCCCCCACTCCAGCAGTGTTTCCTTAACACTCTGCTTCACTAAAATCTTGTGCGCTTTTCAGAGCTATGGATTGTTCTAAATACATAGTAAAGAGGATAAATTAAATGGCCACAAGAAAAAAATACTGCCCTTTTTTCCCCCATTTTCTTGTAATTATGAACTGGAGAGTTCCCCCAAGGAAAAATTTGTCTGTGAATGAACTCTGGATGTTTCTCATTTTGGACTCATTTTCAGGTGTCTTTTCTTTAATGGCAACACTTTAGCTCAATACAGTAAACGGATGGACAGACCGGTGCGAACTGCATCAAAAAACCTATGCCAAGAGCTTCCATCCGTACTGAAATTTACAACAGTAGGCTACAGAAAAAGGGACACATGATTCTACAAAAGTCCTGTCTTATAGCTGACCATCTTTATTAACTTTCTTGCTTCTTTTAAAAGACTGAAAAGTATTAGAGTTAGCACAGTGAGGTTCTTCAACAGCACTTACCAAGAGGCTGTTTGCCATTGTGCTGTTTTTATCCTTGTCTATAAGACACAGTGATAGTATCTGTACAGTGATATAGTCTGTGGTGCTGATAGAATCCCAGTGTCAATGTTTGTTTTATTTATTTTATCTCTTGTTTTTTTTATGCAAATGTTTAATTGTTTGACTGTGGCAATGTTATGTTTTACCATTTTTTTTATTTCTCAGTGTAGTCATGTGATGTTATCTTTTCTTTAACATATTGTAAATAATCCTGAATCTAATAATACATGTGTGCCATTTAATTCCCTTCATCCCAGGGCACCAGTCGGCCCTCCCACTACCATGTACTGTGGGACGACAATTGTTTTACCGCTGACGAGTTCCAGCTGCTCACCTACCAGTTGTGCCACACCTACGTGCGCTGTACCCGCTCAGTCTCCATCCCTGCGCCAGCCTACTACGCCCACCTGGTGGCCTTCCGCGCCCGCTACCATCTGGTGGACAAAGAACATGACAGGTGAGGAAGGGAAGGAGTAGACAAGAGTGTAAAGGTCCTGAACTTGTGTTATTTTTTTAAAGAGAAGTGTTTTGATAGCAGTTGTCTTGTATTACTTGCAGAATGTGCCCAGTTTTCCTGCATGCATACCATTATCATTTGTCCTCCATCATAACTGGTCCTCTTCTCTGTCCTCTGCAGCGCTGAGGGCAGCCATGTTTCTGGTCAGAGTAACGGTCGGGACCCCCAGGCGTTGGCCAAAGCTGTTCAGATTCACCACGACACCCTGAGGACCATGTACTTCGCCTGAGCTACACCAACCCTCCACAACCATTGCCACCCTTAACACACACAGAAACACACAACACACACAGACACAACCATGCACACCTGGCTTGCCAGTCAAGGAGTCCTCAAGTCCCGCCCCCCCACACGCCTAGTCAATCCGGACCTGACACTGTGCAGAGGAAAGCAGGGAGGAGGGAGGGGAGGAGGCACCCCCACACTGGACTGAGGATGCAAACGCTGCTTTAAAAACAAACAAGAGAGAAACTCAGCACTATTATGCAATATTAAACCAGCCAACTAGTTTATTTTCACCCTTATAAGGCCCCCTTTCCATTGCCCCTCCTATCTGTTTTTCCCTGTTTGTCTCTTTTACTTGTGGCCTAGTGGGTGTTTTTTTTGTTTTGTTTGTTTTTACTTTTCCCTTCCTTTGGCACAATATTGTCTACTAATCTGCTCCTTTGCCATCTACAGTACCTCAAGTCAATTTGAGCAGCAGCACTTTTACATTCTGTCAGTTTTACTGTAGTTTGTCATTGATTCTCCCCAGTGTTAGATATGGGGGAGCAGAGAAGGTAGGGTTAGACTCTGGAGTTGTTAAATGGTGTTTGATTTATTTTGGAATATAGTTATTTCATCGGACCAGGGTTGTCCCAGTTGGCACTTTTATTTTTCCTTTTTCCTCTTGTTTCCTCTGTTCTGTCACTTTTCACTAGTGTGTGAAATCACCAGTATGGAGCAACATGTTCTTTTGAGCACACTGCCACCTGTTGGCGACGAGGTATAAATGCCCCCTAAAAGTCACAACAAAGAGTTGTTGTCCTTTAAGGTTTCAGATCAGTTTTGATTTATCTTTAGCGGTCAGCTGTTTTATATTGGCTGATATATCAATTGCTCAACTGCAGCCATTTATGGATTTCATTTAAAGTATAACACTGTTATTTAATTCTGGTTGTTATTTTTCTTCTACATTGTGAAACATTTTATGACTTTTTTTAATCATTTAAATCATGTAAGCTTGTGTTTTTAATCTTAGCAGTCATTGTGCATTCATTTCCCTCAGTGCTTTATCTCACATTTCCCTCTCTTGAGTTTGAGACGGTGAGTAAATAGAGATCTTATCGATGGTTTCCTCTAGTGCAATAATCAGTTGAAACGAAGGGAAGATGATTTTAGGGGACTTAAACGACTCAAAAGAACAGTTAAACATTTAATTTGAAAGTGAGTGTCCTCGAAAAGAGAAAAGTTTGCCACTTGCTAGGCACTTTCATGTATTGCTCCTCTGTGAGACGATTGATCGGCATGTTATATGAGATTGCCCTTGCCGTTGGGCAAAAATGGTGCGACTGCAGTTTTGGTGATTTTAATGTTTTTACTTGAATTGAAGGATGTTATGCGCCTCTGTGGTTTGAGAGTACTTTATCATTAATGGGCATAATTTCAGAATTCATGATCATCAGTTTGCTAATGAGGCTGATTTTCTTAATTCCTAAGAATAACAAAGCTTTTCACCTGACTGCAGCAAAGTGGAGTATAAAGGCCATAAAGAGGTAGTATTCAAGTGCCTGGTGGAAGTGTTAAATGGTCAAAAGCTGCATAGCTCGTTATAGGGATCCTCTTTCATTCGGGCAAAATAAGCAAAAAGCCTATTCCAACAAATTGACAGCATAAGATGGTTTAAAGCAAGAAAGTTTCACCCGATGCCTCTTATTCTTCTCAACCAACTGTCTACTGACTTTTCTATACATCTCATCCATATATTTATTGTGTTTGCCTATACAGCGGAGTTAGCTGCCGGCTTTGCTTCAGAGCAGCGTTCAAGCAAAGCAAGCAGAGTGATCTTTTTACTTTCACCAGACATGGATCCAGCTGCTATAGTGTGTTTGTACCTAAAAGGCCAGGTTCATGGGCACGGAGTGAGCCTCATCATAAACTAATTCTTTCAACAAACGGTTTCTTTCAGTAGAAATCCTGAGTCCAGGACTAGGTTTAATTCCTGTCCATGTAACCGGCCAAAAGTTGCGACCGGCTTCAGAACAATGCTGAGGAGTTAAGTCAGTGACCAATATTTTCAGCAGACTCACAGCTGACTGTTGAAATGTTGTATCTGGATTCTAGTCACCACTTAGCTCCTCTGTGCCGCTGATGACCTGAAGCTCGTCCTGGGGGTTGTTTTTAAAAGTTATCTGCACTAAAAGAAGCTGTGTTTGGGGACTGAACACAGGCGTGGTGCTACTCTGTCTGAATTAGAATCTGAAGCTGAACCTCTGTATGAGACTCTAGATGAACAGGTGGGCAGGATAGAAGATGGAAAAAAAAAACGGTAAACCTCACTCACTTAAGGACAGGCGAAGGCCCCACTGCTGTGGTTGGTGCGGGGAACTCTACATTTAAAAATTCACTCGGTAGTTGTGAACAGCATTAAGAACCTGTAAACGGTACAATGGCAGACGTTCCCTTGGACATTAAGGTATAATGTCCTATATATGTATAATCCTGCACCCGCTGTTGCATCTGACTGCCCTTTGCAGGCTTTCCAGTGTGGGAACCAGTGAGTTTGAGCCTTCATGATTTCACTAGTGTCTGAAAGCCTTTTTAAAAGCCGAAAGTATATTTGTACATTTTAAATTATGTAATGCACACCACTTATTTTTGCTAACAGAAAAAAATAATGTAGTCTAATTATTAATCTTGGTAATAAATGTAACATGATAAGTAATGGTTAAAAAGATATAATAACAAAGTTTTATTATTGCAATAGACTGTTGACTTGTTCCTGTGTCACTATAACGTATAGTGTATGTGTGAACATTGGTGAGGTTGTTGAAACTAGTGACGTGTGTTTGGACTGTCGTACTGTTATTGATAGGGATGTGGACCGCCTCTAGCTTTGATGTTTGGAAAAAAAAGCTGCAACATGTTGAATGCTTATTTCTCTCCTTTTTTTATTTCAATTTTCTGTAGATGTTCATACAGTCAGGTTTGTCGTAGAGGAGAGAATCCTAGACTGCACTCTGAAAGGCTTTGTATTAAGACATCACATCCCTATTGTGACAACAAACAGTAGAATAGAAGAAGAGTCTGTTGATGTATTGAGTTTCTGCTCTTGAATGTTTTTCGGATTTTCTTCAACTGGTGCTGATGCCTGCTCCTTATCGAGAGGGAGAGTGAAAAGGAATGGGCAAGTGGTCTTGAAAGTATTGTTGATCTATTTCAAAGACATGTGTGATCAAAAAATATCATGACAAGGGGTTGTAGTTCTCCATTCCTTTGTGTTAAAGCCTCAGGGGGGGATTTACGTCGGATTGCAACCTCCGTTGCTTTCCTCAGACTCCTCTCTCCTTACCCGAGCCACTTCATGTGCTCACAAATACAGAGAGTTAGCCTCCCGGTAAATCTGCCGTGTGACAAAGCCTGTAATCTTATTGTTGCTTTCTTTCCCCTTTGCTCCCAAACATTTACTCTCCTGCGCCAGAGGACTACATTCCACGGCCGTACAATCCCATCCGATCCCCCTGGGAGGCATAAGAAAGATTAGAGCTGAAGGACAATGGTGAGGTCTGGTCAGTAAGATATAGTGGGTTCTCTCATTCCTTCAAGTATGTGCGATTAGGAAGGAATCAGAGCCGATCAGCAAAAACTAGATTATGTTGGAAGTTGATTGCGAGAATCCATTTATAAATCACTATCTTTGCTGTCAGTAATGGATGTTCAGTCTGTGTATAAACTACACTATTGAGGGCAGTTGAACACATGTTTACATAGCAGATGTGTTTGCCTCGCTTACAACTGAAATGTCATCAGCTCTGCTTTGCAAATATTAGCTCGCAGAGAAGTGACCTAACATGAGCAAGACCATTTGGGGCCTGTGGAAGTGAACGCTTGAAGGGGATGCGAAGATGTTATTTATTTGGTCCATTTTTTTCCTCAATAGACATCTGTGTTGCACAGCAGGGGAGCAGACTTATGTCCACCCACGTCTATCAAAATGACTTGTTAGACTTCATTGAAATTGCACTCAAAGCCTGCAGCTAGTTGTGGCCTTTGGCTCTCGGTAAGGATTGCTATCAATACAGACAAGTCTTTTTGTGGAAGCTGAAGAACAAACATCTTACCCACAAAGTGACAACTGTCTGGTGAAGAAAAATAGCCAAATTAACTTAAAAAAGGTCAGTGTCTCCCTTTTGTAAATGGAAGTAAAGGTGTATTCCATTTCGAGTAATCGATCAATATCCCTGATTTTGGTTGCTCTCTGTTTGCAGTGGAAGGTAGCAATGGAGTGAGAAAAAGTCCACAGAAAGTGCCTTTCCTCTTGATGGTGCTGTCAATTGAAAGATAAAATGTAAAGTCAAACAAATAGAATCTCATTTTCAAGAACACACTGCAATGCAGGAATGGCTGCATTTACACACACTCACTGTTTGTTTTATAGAGACGGCAATGCAAACTCGTGTTTCATGTATTTAGATATTAAGCCTACATAGAAAAAGAATATATGCCAAGTATATGGTTGTGGTTGAGCTTTCGCTTCCTAGTGCATTTAGTGTCTTGGACCAATGGTGTCGTTGGTACAGTGGAATGTGCGTTTTGGGGGCGGGGGGGTCATAGCTGATATTAGCGTGGTGTGACACAGCCCAGCCCACAAATGACAAACATAGCACAGCACTTTAGAGACTGCCACTCTCACTCAGACACATAGCCAAGAGGTTTCGACCTCTGTCCCTCCAGTCCCCTTCTACCTCCCCGAACAGGAGGAGGAGAGGATCCAGACCTCGGTGTAAACGAGGAGTCGAAGGGATGTGGGTTACCAAGTCGGTCATTAAAAGTGTGCCTCATGCTCTCGTGACTTTGTTGGTGGCTCGGTTGAGTCAGCCCTCGGGTTGGTGGTTTTCCTTCTGGAATTGCCGCTCTTTGTTACAGCTAGGGCTGGGTGTCAAAACACGATATCAATTACCTCCCAGATATTGGCATCAGAATTTTGAAGCATCCAAAAAAAAAAGGTTTTACAATAGATTCTTGCACTGAGGAATTAAGATTTTTTTTTTTCTTCTTGAAGGGCATTTTTACTAAGTAAATCAGCATAAGTAGAATCGAAAACTTCTTGAAAAGGCAGAAAAGGCAAAAGCATGAATGACAGAAAATGATTTTGTCTGTTGCATAGTGAAGTATGCTATCATTCAAGTGTCATTGTACAGCAGGTATAGAGATGAAATCAGCAGAACCAGTGTCAGTATTGAAGCTTTTCTCACGATGCCCAGCCCTAGTAGCAGCCCCATGGCATTCTTTCATCTGCGTGCAATGCCCTGCCATGTGTCTTGTCCCTGATGGAGGGTATATGTGCCCAGCATTATCCCTGTCTTGAGCCGGTAGGGTGTGTCGACTGAAAACCAAGGGTGGTCTGTAGTTCTGTGGGTACCTTTTCAGTCCAGGGGGTGAAATCTTTCTATTACAAGAGATCTCTAAAAACACTGCACCTCACTTACCTTGGTATGCTGCATATGTTATACTACATGAAAGAAAACTGCAAATTGCTTTTATTATGACATATAATGCTTGAGTAATGCCTGATTGCGATATTCTTATACAGTAACTATTTTAGAGTCAAAATAAGTATAAATGTAAAAATATTCTCTGTTTTGTCTTAACACTTATCCGATTTTGAGAAATTGTTCTTGAGCCGACTTTTATTTTGTTGTCCTATTTAAATGTGTCGTTCTTTAAATTTATATATGAAATATATATATGCGGAATATTTTATGGTGTATTTATTGAGAGTGCGTTCAAGCGGCTGGAGTCTCCGCATTATATTGCAGCATGGTGGGGGCGGAGCCAGGAGGATGAGGCCTTTAGCCCCTCCCCCTCCACGTTGACGCCTTATTCTCCTTGACACGCAAGCACAACAATATGGAGGGGGGTGCAAGGTGGAGGAAAGGGAAGAGGTGGATTTGACCTGGCGATGCAGAGCCGTGTATCGGGTTCTGGATGATATTTACAGGTCAACTCTACCTCCTCTTTTTTCTTGATATTCTTTATCCTCCACTCTTCTTTTACCACATGAGAAGGCCAAAACGCCAACCCCCACATGTTGCAGCTCATCTCTGACGAAGGGAACCATTTCTGAACCACACTGACTTGAGTGTCGAATAGCTGACTTTTTTTTCCATCCCAAGCTGCTAATTGGTACGTTAGCCATGTAAATTCCCCGAGCCAGTAAAGGGCAGGTGGGAGAGCGTAAAATAAGATTTAAAAAAAGCAGCAGGGGAAGGAAGGAAAGATGTTGGAAAAGGCAGAATTCTCTGGATCACAGTGAAAAATTTAGCGTAGGTGTTGCTTCTTTCCTCTTAAATTGTCTCCTTTTTTTTGTTTTCCTTGTGCCAGAACCTTTTACAGCAGGAACAGGTCTCATTCCACAAGAAAAGACATGCCTCAGCCTTAAGTGCGTTCTTACATTATCGTCAGATTTCTATGTGACTTTGCGATGCCTGTGTTGGGTGGCCTACCAAGAAAAACAAGCCTACATACTTGATATGCCCTGATTCCCCAACCAACATCCTCATTTTTCATGTAAACCACTAACACTGCTACAGAACTTAGTGAACTCTGATGTACAAACAAATGTAAGCTTTCAAAAAAAAAAATTGCTCTGTCCCATTTGTACTGATGTCTGAACAGAAACCAGGTCTGGGTCAAACCGCGTTTGGAAACAGTTCTTGGCGTTTGTTTTAACCAGACGAGCAGTGCTTACTGCCTCAGGTCAATTCAGAAAGCATCATATAAATTGTGAATGACATATGCTAATTTGACTTTTATACGCTTCTCTGTGTAACTGGTTATCATTGTATGGTCGCTGATGGCAAATCCAAAGAACAGTATTTTCAGATACAGTTTGACCCGGGCCTGACAGGAACCAGGAGGTTCCCCAGAGTGCTGGATTACAGAGACCTGTGCCTGTAAAATGAACCAAGGATGAGTTGTGTTGTGAGAAATTGCTGTTCTTTTCTTTTTTTTTCTTTTTCTTTTTTTTAACTTTTTTTGTTGGTTGTCCCTCACCCCCATCGGAGGATCAGAGACATGGAGCTTTGGAGTGTTGTCAATCCTGTTCCAAAGTAAATCGGCCCTCTGTCCATTAAACCAAATCATTTTGGTTTGATAAATGTTTACTGTAATGTTTACTCCCGTGGCTATCATATGTTTTAACCTGTTTTCATCCCGTTAGCATTCCAATAATGACTTTGAACCAAATATTGCACAAGAGATTAGGCTCCTGATGCCAATTTTCCCTTGTATACACATAATGGTTTTGAAGACAGATATATTTGACAGTGGCCAAGGACTTTAAAACATTTTCTGTGTACGCCGATTGTCCAGAATTTTTCAATGTAGCATCTCTTGTGTCAGTTTTATTTCAAACTAAAGATCTTGGGCTCTGATACCTCTGAGGGAGACACCAGCAAACGGATGTACACGTTGAACAGTGAACCTTCACCACCAGATGATCCATGTCTCAGTCTCTCTGTATGTTGCAAAGGCTCTGTTGTACCAACAGCTCTATTCCTTTCAATTTTAAATGTCTCTTTCTTTTGTAACTCTCTCTTATAGGTTGTTGGCCTTTTAGTGTTGCTTTGCTTCAGTTTGAAGTGTATCTTTGACTAATACTTGCAATAAAATGCTTTGCTTTACCTTGGTCGTCTTGGTGAGATTGTGTTAGAAATGTAAATAGATGTTTTGTATGTATAAAGTGACATTGTGGGAAATGTTTCAGGTTATGAGAAGTAAATAAAAGTAACCAACTATTCATGAATACACAAAGTAGCAGCAGGAACATAAAGGCCTTGCACAATTACACTAAATAAAGTTATATGTTTACTAACTTAAATTGTAACCTCATGTTTGAGCAGCTCTGTGAGGTTGCAGATATTCAGTGTCCCAAGCTGCATGCATTGCATTGTGGGAGAATCAACACGCATGCTGTCTGCTTTGAGTATACTTAATGACTCTTTAGTGCTCTAAAACTAGACCATGCTAAAACCCTGCTCAGAATCAGCATGTTGTATTGATTTGGGACAGTAATAATGTTTGCCATGTTCATCATTTTAGTTTATTGTGTTAGCATGCCAACGTTTGCTACTCGCACTAAACACAGTGTACATCTGATGGGAATGCCAGTTAGTTTTGCAGCTCCTTGGTCATAAACCAAAATTGAATTGACCTCATGGCAGTGCTAGAGGAAACGTCAGGGGATCGCCAATGTCAACAGGATTCATCATCATCTGTGGAACGTGAATATCTAAACAAAACTCAATGGCAATTCAGTAAATTGCTTTTTATATATTTGATTGGGACCAACCGACCACATGGCTGACATTGCCATCCCTTGGTCCCCACTGCTAGGAAGACTTAAAATAAATTATTGAAGCATTTTATGTAAATTTCCACAAAAGAACAGCTTTTGTCAGAAGCCCTACCTGATATGATTATCTCTTAAATAATGGCCACATGAATAGTGATGAAAATATGACACTTCATCGTCTGTTGAACCTTGAACAAATGTGTGACAATCCTGCAAAGACAGCTAACGATTACTGACTGTCAATATGAGTAATTAAAATGGAGTACTGTTTAAAAACAGCTGTCGGCTGTTGAGGTCTTTATTTCAGAAGAGGTTTCACCTCACTAACACTACAACACACACACACACACACACACACACACACTTTACAATTAATTGAAATATTGTCCAAATAGCAGAAACTGCTATTTTTTGATAAAGGTAAAATGCGTGACAAAACAGCATTACACCAAAGTACTGTAGTGTTGCCCTGGCCTACAAAATCTTTTTCTCCAGATTTAAGGAAACATGTTTGTTAGCTACAGACCCCAACAAACGTCACAAACTGATACAGCTCTGCCCTGTAGAGCCGTTTCCACCAATGAGCTAAAGTGTTGTCAGGTGCAGTGCGTGGGGTAGGAGAGAGGGGGCTTCCTGAAAAGTCGTGGGAGTCAGAGGGCCTCTACACAGCCATGGTAAACTCACACAGGTGTTTTCACTTATCTTGCCTGATTAGACCTGTTTGACTGCATTGGTGTGTAAAAAAAATAAGTATTTTATCATCATGTCCTTCCCTCATGTTGCACCTGTTTAGCAGGCAAGGCAAATCATATCTATATTATTTTTGTTAGGACATGAAGTTGGATTTCATATAATTCCCAACATAATTAAGATTTAATCAGCCGTAATAGCCCAAAAACACCTGAATGGACAGGTGGAGCTTTTGAAATTTGCCTTTAAAAGGATTCAAGAATAATAGTAATGTTTAAATAATTGATACCCTTTAATATGTGCACAAGTTTTATTAGCCAAATATTAATGTCAATTATAGGGTTAAGAAATCACAGCGCTGCAGTATAATAATGAAGGCCATTTATAATACCTCCTTTCCTCATTTCACAGTAGGTTTCTCATTAAGATGGAAGAGTAGACCTTGTATCGTGCTGATTCTGAAAGTCACACGTCGAGGAAAGATCCGGCCTGTATTTGATAGGTCTTTATTCTGTGGTTTTTTTTTTTCAACCCCTATGCACCTACATGCTCTTGTTTCCACACATGCCCAGTAGGTACTGAACACCGAGGAACATATATAGTATATGTATGTATATGTATAGTATAATTAAAGTGTGTGATTGTGCCGAATTCATGGCCACTCTCGTACTCGTATTGGTTTACCGATTAACTCAAAGTGTTATTAAACCTGTTTCTCTTTTTGTTTTCTGTTTTTGTGAAAAGGTTTGTTTTTTCACTTTAGGAAAATTTGCATGAAACTAGGGACTCATTAAGCTGCAGCACTGCGTAATGAGAGAATCATAACCAACAGCAAACGATCATTGCTGAGCAGCAACACTTCCCATCATTAAAAACACAGAGAGATGGATGCTCTGTGAGAAACCAGATGCTCTGCAGGGTGGGACTCAACACTGATTATGTTCACATCCTAACTGTCATAAACAGCTCGGCCCCCCTGTGCCCAGCTACGTCCAACTGACAAAATGATGGTGTTAATTTCTGTAGGCCTAACTCATTTAAATAAGGGACAGCCACTGTTTAGTCGAACAGGCGTCCCTGTGGGCCTAAATACAGCTGCCACAGTTTCTTGCTCATGATGGTACAGTAGCACTTGGACCAAACCCTCTGTTAAAAGCTAAATCAACACTTAATCACCTGGAACAGAAAGCTGAAACAGAAACAGTTCTGTAATTACAAGCAGGTTGCACTTCTGGCCAATCAATGCTGTCAAATTAGGTTCTCCACTCAGGTCTTGGGACCTGCCTGTCTTAAATTGTGACAACTGTTGTTGTCCAACAGTAGATCATATCTCCAGTGGTATTTTTTAAATGGCAGGAATGATTGAGAAAGTTTGCAACTACTGTGTAAAGCGAAGAAGAAGAAGAAAGCAACCATCACGTTCACGATGATGTTTGTTCGCTGTGAGCGGGAAGCCAGTTTCGATATTGACTGAAAATCAAGAAAATAGACTGAAACGTAGTAATCAAAAACACGGGGAAAGAAGTGAAAAAAGCCTTCTTTTCTGCAAATGACTGATCAAAACAAAGCAATAAACAGACTATGCCTGGAAAAGAGTTTGATGACTGCAGTTGCCTCCCAGCCACCGAGGATGACAAAGATCCTCAGTGAAGCACAAGCCGATGTTTATCACTGAACTTATTTCCAAAACTACAATGCCATCTTTGTGTTGTTGCATGGTGACAAACTGGTTTGCCATGAATTTCATGATGGATTCCAAACTTTTGAAATGTAGCATTTAAGTGTTTTTGAGTTACATGGTTATTGTTAAATCAATCAGACACTGATGGCGTGGTGTTGTCTTGTATTTCTTTATATAGGCATTTGTTTCATACCTAAAATGTTTTATGTTGGTCAGGGGGTACTTAAATATATTTCAAAAGGGTGTACATTATTGGAAAAAAGTTTTGGAACCACTCTGCATCCTAACCCTTCCTTACCTCCCTGAAGTTTTTGGAGTGCTAATGTCACAAATAAAGCCGGGGTCTCCACCAACTATGTGCTAGTGCTGGATATGTTGTGTAGAGAGGGTTTTTTAAAACTTTTTAACTGAAAACAGGCAGGTGAGAGTGAACCAAACTCATTAAGTTGCTGGTTGAAAACCAAAACAATGAGCTGAAAGATGCTACAATGCAATACAGAGTCACTATGGTCACCCCTTATACATTACTTACGCTAATTGTTCTCATTGTTACTACTAAAATATGCGAAAATAAGTGAAATACAAGTAAATATTTGGCTTGTCAGCTTTGGCAGCCACTTTGACAACTTTGTTGAAACATTTTATCTTGTAAAGCAACATAAAATATACAAGTCAGGCTGGAATTTAACCACCACTGTCACCAAAGGATGAGGAAAATAAAAAATTGTGAAGGAATTACTATTATTTTTTAGACTGTCAGAGGTGTTAATTCAGTCATCGCTGAGGCTGACATTTATCAAATTTTTTTGGCAGATCCCTCTAAAAGTCTTTCAGTCAGTGCAGGTGGGATCTCTCGTGTTTGTTGGAGAATTTCTCCTGGGCCACATTATAAAATATTGCAAAGTCAACTATTGATGCACAGGCAATTCAGGCAGCCAACACTTTATCATAATTACCAAAGCAGCTACATAAATGATTCTGATTAAAAGAAATACTAACTGCAAATATGTGTCAACTTTAATACCGCTCTGAATAACTGCTTTTATAAAGGAGCTTACAAGGCATTTGAATGTATAAACTGGTCTGATAGCCTGCACATATGTCTCTCATACAGCCGATTAGGTGAATGGGGGACAGAGCTACACAGTCTTTTCACCTATTGTTTATCTTTCTTCACAGTAAAAGTCATTTTGACTGGACACTTTAATTCATGAAATGAACACAAACGCTGTTACATGTGCCCAAATTTGCTCTCTTTTTTTCTTTCTTTCTGCTCTCTTCTTGCTTTCGTCTCTGCAGGTTTCCTTGATTACCTAATGACAATTAGCTGTGCCTGATCACTGACCTGGTAGCTATAAAAGGAAGAATTTGGAGCAAAAGAGTGGGAGTGCCCTGCCCGAGATTGTGTGTCTTTTGTAGCTGCTGCATTTTTTGTTTCTGCTTGTCCAGTTTTGACTTCTTTATATATGGAGTATCTTTGACAAAAAACTGTCCTGAAGGCATTGTACACAAAATACTCTTGTGTTATCTGACAAGCTCAGCCTTGGTTTAGAACTGATCCAGCCAACCCGCAACTTGCAGAGGTTTAAAACAGGGCTGTGACCTGGTTGCTAAATAAGCCAAGGTTCCGATGAAACGCCAAACTGGAGCTTAACAGGATGCGTGATGATGTTAGCTCCAAGACACACTCATGATAGGTGTTCCAGAGGAATTTAATAACACAATGATCTTTATAAATGTCTGTTTTACTGGATTTATAACAATCAGTGGCCTGCATTGGCAGTTTATGTCCCCTGCAGTTTCTCCTCTCACCAGGAGAAGGAGCAGTTCACTAAGAGAAAGTCTGGTCTGCTAAGGAGAAGAGTGAGGTGCCGTGTCTGGGTTCACGTTTATTATGTACAATAGGATATAAAGGGTGTGTTTGTGTTATGGGAGGTGAAGCCAGAGGTACCAGAGAGAAGTCACACTGAGAGCTGAACTGAAAACAACAAGGGGCCCAGAAGAACAAAAGGATGTGTGGACATGTTAGATGCAGACTTATGGAAAACATTAGGCTTGATGGCACAATTCCCAAAGGACTTTCCTCCTTTTTTTTAACATCACAGGATGTTGTCTATATTTCAGTGCGGTATCTTGACTGTGATGTTTTTATTTTACCTCCAACCTCCACTACTGCTTCTGTCGGGAGAGTGGCTGATGACATACAGGGAAAACAACTTGAATCATAGGCTGCGCACCACCATCTCTTCTGTCCCATAGATGAAAAATTACTTGTTAGCACAGGGAATTATCCCTGTAAAAGAGGATCCACCAGCTCCAGAAGGCCATCCCAGCACAGGACTTGGCCTCTGCTGAGCTCAGTCAGCAACAAATATTGAATTAATAATACCTCCCAATATTTGTATGTGTAAGCATAGTCTGTGATTGACTGTCTGCTGAGTAAATATTTGGCTCTCCTAAAGGTTTCTGGAATCTGATGTAGTAACTCTGATCTACTTTGATGCACTCTGATTTAAACTTTATGAATATCTTTTGAAAGATTTGAGCTAAAATGACAATAACTTATGGAATAGTTTGACATTTTGGGAAATGCCAACGTTTGCTCGTTTTCTTGCTGAGCGTTAGAAGATCTATACCACCCTCATGACTGTCCAGTAAATATATAGCTACATCCTGCTCGGTGCTGTGCAGAGTTTTCCTGCACCATTTTATTTTATTTTATTCTTTTAAATTTGGTGGGCCTGGTAACAATTGTGTTGGGTGGGTTGTTATGCTTTGCACAGATTGCATGATTTGGGTGGTATCCACCTATGAAAACTTATGAAAGTCATATGTGTTTAATTAAGTTTAATGTTTAATGTAACGTTATCTCAAATCATATAGGAAAAAAACAAAGACACTATCTATCTTTACTGATTACCTTCTTTTATGACAAGCGGGCCGGTTCTAAGGTTTGATTGGTCTACTTTTTTCTTGTCAGATCAGCAGGTTAGCTTAGCTAAACACAGACTACAAACAAGGGGAAACTGCGAGCCTGGCTCTGCCCAAAGGTAACAATACACGCCTACCTTCCAGCACCTCTAAAGCTTGATAATTAACACAATATATCTTGTGGGTTTTTCATCTGTACAAAAACGAAACAAAGTGTATAAAAGTATGTGAAAGTTGCTGTTGCATTGGCTGTAGCATTATATTTACCATATTTTTACCACATATGATGATGTTAGGCCTATCGATCTTCTCATCTACTCTGAGCAAGAAAGGAAAACCTTTTCCCAAAATGTCCCAAAACCATCCCAAATAAGCCAAGACTATGAAATTACCAACTCTTGAGTCCACTATAAAGCCAGTCACATTTTTCTCTAATCACACCAGAGCACCCGTTCTCCTTTTGTTAGCCCGTCACTGTTCACCCTAAACATGAATACGTATAGTTCTGAAAAGGAAATCCAGCTGTGATAAGAGTAACATGGTACGCACAGAGAGACGTTGAATAATTGGGGGGTCAACAGAGGGAAGACTGGTCGCTGATGTTTCTCATGGATGGCTCATGAACATGCTTTTTATTATAGCTCCAGAGTACAATGCACCCGACAAACAACAATCTGAATCTATGAGTTATTGTGTGTGTGTGTGTGTGTGTGTGTGTGTGTGTGTGTGCGACTGAAAGCAGAAATAGTGATAAGATAATATTGAGCTGTCAGGGATCAGCAGGCAGTCTTTTCTATTCTATGGACAGACCATTCTAACAGTTAGTTCCCAGCCATTCTTTAGTTATTGCACTTATGTGTCAGTCCTCAATCTAGCTATGTGTGCCTATTTCTAATGAATCTAATTATCTGTTTACAGATAATTTTGATGGCGACGTTATACAAAAAAATATATTAAAAAAGTACCCACTTCGGTCTGTTCTCACCGACATTATAATTGTTTAACCCATGCTTGAGATGTTACATAACACTCAAGTCCCAGGCTTGTGTTCAGAAACGATTACAAAAATATGAAGACATTTCCACAGTTCCAAGAAAATAATACTATAGGCTTTTAGCAAACATCAAACAAGAGTTAACACTGTATTGTCAGCCACAGATTTGTAGCTCAGTTTTACAGCAGCGGGATGGTGTATGATGGACTGACTCAAAATAAACCACAATGGCTGTATTCATCATTATGTAAGAACATGTCACCCAGTGCAATGCTGTGGGTCATTAATGTGTTTATACAAATATGAATAAGTTACTCTATCAGCCAGGCAATACTGGAAAAAAGTATCATTATTGGATTTGGTCTTGGTCTAACAAAAATATAAAATATAACCAGGTTTAATTTTTTATTTTTTTTAAATATCTTTGGGCCACTTTTAGATTTTAGATCCATGCCCTTTGGAGCTGTGAGATTTCTCAACACATTTTTTCCTTTTTGTACATCAAGCTTCAGCCATCTTCACAGGAGGCTCGGCAGCTTGCAGGTTTAGCTCCACATGATGGATGTGCCGCTCTTGGACCTCCATCTCCTCTGTAGTCTGATGGGAGGCACATGAATGCAAGGGAGCACAGGGTAGACTAACAATACAGTGCAAGCAGTGCTAATGGACTTGTGACAGGGGGGATTTTGGCACAAATCTGGGTGAGCAAGTCATTTGAGAAATGTTCTGCCTTTCATTTATATTGTCAAAAGTGCTCTTAAGACGGATAATCTGCACACGGTGACGTACGTTTTATATATTGCCTACATTTGCAGCCTTACAGGCTCACACGGTGTTGAGATAAGGTGCGTAGAAACTTAGAAACAATCTGATTTCAGTAGTGAGTGATCAGTATTCCACACTTATAACTCTACACTTCCTATTTCATTTTCATAATATTTCATCATTGTCTTTTCCACCTCGGGATAGAGCCTCAGGGAGCTATAAGCTGTATATACTATTCTTGTATCAGTTTTAAGGTCTGGAAATATCGTGGACTTTTGTAGCTACAAATGGAGCATCTTTTCTTGATATATTTCAAATTATAGGCATACAAAGCACAAATGATCTTTTGGCTAAAACTCCCAGAGGCACACCTAAACTTTCATGGCAGATGTTCAATTGCTTTTTCCTCCCACTCCCGAATATAACTTGCCCTGCATTTGGCCTCTGGCTCTCTGGTCTCGTTTCCTCCATGTGGTCCCATGTAGCTGTACGGAGCATAGCCATAACACAGCAGGGGGTTAGAGGGTTAATTTCTTATGTGACATGATGGGTATACTGTGAAAGTTAACGTTGACAGTGTAGATGATAGTGTTTTCAGAGTTTTAACAAAAGTGAAATTAATACCAGAAGATAAATGCGTCCCACAGTGGGTGGGGACCACTGATCTGAAACTACAGCATATCAAGCTGCTTTTTAAGACCCACATTAAATTGGCAACAACAGATCAATGTTTTTTCTGTTACAGGAGCTACAGCAGCAAACTTTTTCCCTTGGAGAGCCAAAACTGAAACTTAATGGTGTGTCACGGGCCAAAAGCAAACACCTCTTGTGCTGTATTGTTAAGATGCAAAATGGTCCCAAGTTCCTTTGATTGACTAACTTTCTGTGCAAAGTCACTCTGCTTGCAACCCTCAGGTTAAGAAACATAATTAGGAGTCCTATATATTTAAAGAGCTTTTTACCTCACAATAAATAAAACTAGCAGATTTATATTATAATTTGACTAATAATTACTTTTAAAATTGAACCCTATGGTGAGACAACATGGCTCCATGGACCCCACTTTGGCCAGCCATGAACTGATCAATAGATAACCAAATTTTAGTTTTATATTTCTATTCTTGCAGGTTTTTTGTTTAGACTTTCATGTGCTATATGCACATTTTGGCCATTAATGAGTGATACAGATCAAATTATATTCATTGGCATCCTAAGAGAGAAAAGACCAATACAGAAAATTATAAAATTATTTATTTTTATGACATTTTTTGGGGGGGGATTGGTAAAGGTTAGCTGATTTGAGTACAAATATCTTATATACTGTGACCTATCATTATCCAATAGTTTTTTGTCTTTTTTTTTTTTTTTTTTTTTTTTACAATTCCTGTCTTCAACCTTTTATTGAAAGTGTTTCATAAATCTCAGCATAGCTGTGCACCTACACGCATAGTGACGGCATCAGATTAATCTAATAGTAGATGAGAAAAAATAACAGATTACAATCCTTATACAAAATGAATGGCCTGAAAGTGTCTTTAAAAACTTTTTTTTTTACAGATTAAATAACTTCTGAATCACTGAGTTTAGTCACATTCTGTGAAGGGCTTTTATTATGAACGCAATACAGTCAATTTCAATACAATATGCAGTAGATACAAAATGATTACTTTATTAAATACAGTGTCAGGTGAACCCCAGCAGGAGGCAGTGTAAAGACATTGCTGGCACTTCAAGCTGTATATCCATATTTAGATATTTTTCATTTGCCAGCAAGCAGTTCACTTTTCACATTGTTCCAAAGCTGTGTAAGGTCATACTGCTCACAGGACAGGAAGTTCCAGTCCATTTCCTGTTCTCCTCTCTGAGACCTCTGAGTAACAAAGTGTTTCTTAGGCCAGTTTTTAAATGGTGTCATCCAAATGTTCGTGCAGCCTCTCTCCTCTGTTATTGTGCCTGTGTCTCCTGAAAAGAAACCAAGTGTCCAATTTAGATCAAACAACAGTGACAAACCATACTCTGGCTCCAGTAAACATGACAATTGTTTTGTCAGCAGGCAAACCCTGGCCTGTCATGCCTAATGTGTGTCACTTTTCACGTGGGAGGACACTTGCTGTGTAGAATTTTGCTGTTTTTCATTTTGTACCCTTAGTTTTTTGTTTTGTTTTGTCCCTTTTTTAAAGCAGCTACTAGCAGTATCTTATTTCTTCTCAGTGTATGGGTTTATCACCAGAGCATAGCCTGAAATGAGATTTGTGTCTGTGCCTGCCAGTGTATATGTGCATCACTGTACCTCCACAGCAGAAATGCCAGCACTCCTCCAAACAGCAGCAGGAGGACGAGACACACTACAGCAGCTGTTGTCCCTCTGCCCTCTGTCTCACAAGGTGCTGTCAACCAGGAGAAAGACACCCAATGAGGGGGGGAAACAAAACTACAAGTCATCTGACGTGGCTGCCCTAAAAGGCCATAAAGGTCCCCTACAATACGTCTGTACAGTCAGCAAACTGACTGGAACAACAGCAGCTAACAGGAGGAATCCTAAAATACCCCGACTGTCTTTGGATCATCACGTCTCTTGGCAGATTCGAAGAATTGCATTTGTCTCGCCTGTTTAGCAGCAGTGGTAGCAGCAGTAGCAGTAGTGCCGGTAGTGATTTATTGATCGCACTGTGGAAAATCCTTTATCACTGAAACACCACCAGTGATACAATACACAGAACAAAGTGCAATCAGGACATAGCTCAAGACAGACACAAGGCACGGCATAACGGGGTCCGATTTCTGAATATCCATGACACAACACAGTGAGCTGACTGTAAATGAGATGTTAATAACCACAGCCACCGTTTAATCAACTGGCTTAGACAAATGTGGATTAAACATTAGGATCGCATAATCACTTAGGGGTAAAATAAGTATTTAGGACTTTTTTAATGTAAGAAAAAGCAGCAAGTGTAAATGATAGGCCAGAGTCTTGCAAATACTTCCTCCTTTTATCTCTGTTTTGGTCTCCACCAACTCCTGAGGGAAATATGTGGACCTGCTAAATGCTCCACTATGAGCTAGGTACTAACTTCTTTTTGTGTGTGGGTTTTTTTTTTTTCTTCTCAGCTTTTTTTGCTGAAAACAGTCCCCTGCAGCTTGAAACAACACTAATATGAATCTGTGTGAGTGAACCAAAAAAGTAAGGTTTTGGGCTGTAAAACCAAAACGATGAGCTGAAATACACTCTATAAAAATACTGATCATCGCAGCTGTAAGTAAAGTAAATAAATATATATTAGCCATACACTTTTAAGAACAGTATTATTCATGTTATACAGAAAAACAGAGAAACTGGTACCTGCTGTGTAGGTGGCAGTACTGTAGCCCAGCTTGTTGCTCACCATGCAGGTGAAGTGGCCACAGATTGGAGTCTTTGTCACAAACAATGTTGTTCCATCGTTGGAGACTGTTCCTACAGTCTTGGTGATGGCGACTCTCTCGTAGAGCCAACTGAAGTTGGGGTCAGTCCCCCAGGCCTCGCCACAAACCAAAGAGGAGTGGGACACGTTGATGCTGACTGAGACGTGGTGCACCGCCTCTGTGAAGATAGACGAAAGGAGGTGAAAATAAGAAGGAAAAGAGGGTGGACTTAAAAACCGAGAGCCGGATAGAAATAAGATGGGATGTGAATTGCTCTGCTGTGGGCATCTATCTGTTATAAAATAAGAATAATGGCACATGGCTGTCCAAGAGGATCTAACACAAAGAATCATGAGAGACGTTTAATGCTGTCAGAAGAAACTGGCTCAGTTTCAGAGACAATAATGAGACCGGAGAGTGAGGCATAATGTCTGAGAATGGGATGATGGAAAACCCTGGAAGCTGAGAGAGCAGATGTAGAGAAGAGTGGAGCTGATGAATTGATACTGTTAGAGCAGACGGATGAGGGTAAAAGCAAAGAGGCTCTGACAGAAAACTAGAAAGCTACAATGAGAGACTGGAATCATCAAAGAGACAAAAGTAAGACCTAGATGGCAAAGCCTATAGGCAAATTTAATTTAAAGGGTTTTGTTATGAAATGAGACATCCACCATCAAAAAAAGAAACAATGCAAACTGGCATCAAATCAAAACACATTCTTTATACTGATGGAGTTAACACTAGAAATTTTATTTTAGATCATTACTCTGAGGTTTATTTTAGACCACGTTTCTACATTAACTGCCTCTAAAAGGTTTTCAAAATGATTAAGGGCAGGACCCACACCTAACCACCCACTGATCCTTCTAACCTTATGACCTTTTTCTGGCCTATAGATCAGTGGGACTGAATCTAATAATGTTCAATATCTGGTAATCTTTCATCTTATTTTTGCAATAGTATATAGAAAAACAGAGAATAAGGACAAATGCAAATGTTCAGGGTTTCACAGAGCTGAAAATATCAAAGGGATTCAGTCAGCTTTGAACCTCACACTTCAGGGGCGTTTTGTACCGGGGGGTGTCATAGATTTTAATCGGACAGAATTACTGGAAATGGAAAATAACTCATGATGTTCGCTGCTACAGAATGGGACCAGGATCAATTGGTAGTGTAACACAATTTCTATCAATAGACTACTCCATTAATTGACTTATTGTTTCAGCAACATCTATAATGTTAAATACTTTACATGCAACGTATCATACTGTACCATACATCCTGACGATGCAGTGTGCAGTGGTCTTGGCCCCTTTGTGATCCATCACAGTCACAGCATACACGCCCCTGTCCGCGTTGCTGTATCCATTAATCTGAAGTGTCGTCTCGTGCTGCTTCACATTCATTTGGACATTGGGCCTTGTATTGTCACACTTGAGGCTTCCATTAGGGCACGTGGCCAGTGTCACTCTCTTGGGATCAACTCCAGTTTCAGACTCCCGTTCCCAGGTTACATTGAAGACGGACTCCAGGGGTCCCACCTCGATCCGAGCGTTGAGAACCAGCTTGGAGCCGGGGATTACGTACACAGGCTCCTCGTTGAGGATGTGCACTGACATACACTGGAGCCCACATGGCACTGAGGACAGAGATTGGACCAGTTGTTATTGCATGCTCATCAGAATAGTGCTTAAGCTTACATGCCTCATGCAGTACATGTTTACATTCAGATGTAGTATGATTCACAGTATTTCACATTCATCAGTGTTGACCTTTTTGGCTTTTTGAAGAATTTGCACTGTTTGGGCAGCACGAGAAGCTAATAAAACAAACAATGGCATAATACTTCATCTCTGTCCTCAGCATGTACTTTATGAATATGTATGGCTGCTTTCTGTCAAACAATGTCAAACAATGATTTATAGTGCATGTCAGCCATGCCTAATGTGATATCCATCAAACCTCATCGATATCTTTAAATCTGTGTCAAAACTGCAGTGGAGCTGGTAAGCGCCCGTGCATTTACCCCAAGGAGTATTAATCACACGACTTAACTTGATAGGCAAAGGATGGAGATGTAAATAATGTAAGTGTGGTTATTAAAACAGAAATCAATTATACAAGAGTTCTTCTGCATTAGTGGGAGGAGGCAACATCGAACCGGTGCTGTGATCTTTCTGTTGTGTTGTCAGAGAATAAAAGGATGCTATTGTCTTATTTCGTACACAAGGAAAAAAATAAAATATTAAATCTTTTGTTGTTTTCCTGCAGTTTCAAGCAGGTTTTAAACAGAAATCATTAGGATCGTGGATACAACAAAAAGCCTTACTCAAGAGAAGCAGCAGGGTAACTCTCCAGCACAGGAAACACTGTAGATCCATAACACCTGCTGATATAGACAGAGAACAGAGAGAGGAATTTGTCCATGACCTCAGCAACAGCACACCATTTCCTCTGTACTTGTGTAGCCACTACAGCAGGAATAATAACACCACCTCCAGAGAAAATGTGAAATTAAAATGAGGGCAAAAAACAATTAAATAAGCATGTCCCTCTATTAAAAAACTGTAATCCAAATGTTTAGGGTATTCTTTTTTTTTTTTTCTTAATTTGTTTGTGAAGTATCCAAAGAACAACAGCACTGGCACTGCAGACTGCACTAGAATCAGAACTTGGAACAAAATAGGGACGAGTCTACTGCCAAAACCAAAATGAACCCCCTCAAGCACAGCTGCTACAACAAAAACACAGAGAGGAAACGCTGATAGCAGTGCAAGAACACAACCCAACCTGCATGCATTAAATATAACCTGGAATTCCCTTTTGCTGTTTACCTTGAAGTTATCCACATCGAAACCCCCTGAAGTGGGATTCACCTACCTCTCCAAAGTTGAGACAAACAACACAGTCGAGCCAGAGCTCTTTCACTCTTATGTTCACTTTCTCAGAGGTTAAAGTGCAGTGCAATTCACTCTGCAAGTGGATTTATGGTCCAAAATAAAACAATATCTTCATAGCAGTTGCCATTGCATTGCGAGAAATAATCTAGTTAAAGATGACAGTGCCTAGATCTACAGCTGCTCCTACAAACAATATCAAACAGGAGTTAAGCTAAATGTCTTTCTCCTCTCTCTGGCCTTTTGTCTCTGCTCGTCAGGTCCAGTCAGCGAGTCACGTACTGTAGGCGTCACCTTGTTTTTTTAAGCAGCTTCCTCTCCCCGACTTCCCCTTTTCCCTGTACAGTAGAGACTTCTTTCTGCTTTGTGCTTTAAATAAGTGACTTTCCATTGTAAAGTCACCCCTTCTTATTTCCAAACCCCCCCACCCCTCCTCTGGCCTGGGTCCAATAACCCGCTCGCACAACAATACAACATGTCTGATTTGGATTTTCACACCACTGTTTGTAAACACAGATAAAATGCAATGGTATTCTTTTGAAGGGAAACCAGTAACAATGTTGGAACTCGGCCTTATGAAATAGGCTTTGTACTGCAGCCTTTCTTATCCAGCACGAACACTATTTGGCCTGCAGACATTGTCTTGGCTTTGGATTGTAAAAAGGAGGTAATACATGAATTACTCCATTCTTACATTTTTTCAATAATTGTCTCTCGCATGCAACTGAGAAACACCTTCAAGCAAGTAAAGGGGAATGCAGACGAGTTTATTCTGGTTCCCCTGGGAAAGTTCAGCAGTCTTTGTGAAAACGTAGGAAAAAAAACAACTTCATAGACAATAATTGGGGAGGTAATTTAGGGACCCATGTTAAGATTAAGTTCATATTCTGGCCTTTTCTAAACACACATAAATTGGAATTTTCAACATCAGCTAGTTGCAACAACTCTTACATCAAACAAGATGGGGTAATATAATTGCAAGCTCCAAAAAAACTGGTGGCTACTAAACAGACCTTGAGATAAGATTGTTTTGTCAGCTACACACTACCAGAGCAAGTGAAGCATAATGACATGACTTATTCAGGGGGTTTGGCTCTGCGGTTTCTCACTTTATGAAAGTACAGATGTAACAAGTTATTTTAAACTGATTATAAATCCATTTGTATTTGCAGAGGGTTTATGAATAATCATGGGAATCACAGCTGTGGCTCCCACTGAGTTCCTTGCCTACAGAGGAGTGCTGTTAGCTGGAATTAACCAGTGGGTGGCACTGATACATCAGCGGAAAAATATCAACACTTGGCCCTCATTTTAGCCTCTTTTCTTTCATCATATGCGTCTGGTTCCATGTGAAAAATAATTTATGTCTGCTTAATGTACTCTCTTATGCAATGATATGAATTAATGTGAAGCAAAACCAAAGAACTGAATCTATAAAGATGTTGTTATCTAATCTAATTTCGTCAACCACTTTATCAGATCACAGCTGCTATGTCATGCTATGTATCCAGGGCAAAAATAAAAAATGACCCTCAATCATGATTTTTATTTTTTTTTTTTTAAGGAAAACAAATAAAATAATTATATTCTTTTGAAAAGTGATATGGTCATCTATCTTTATATACTTGATATGTATTAATCTCCAAACTCTTCAAAAAGAAGTAAAAGTAAGAAATTATTCACTACATTTTTATTTTCTGATAGTCTTTGAATGCATCTTTATGTGAAGTGTAAAAATATCTAATACTTTTCTTTTTGGTATTTGATCCCTGATACATATGTTACCATTAAAATGCAGTAGTGTAGGCATATTTATAATAATATGATACACCTACATTTTTAGGCTGATGCATCAGTGTATAAGCAGCATTTCACTGTTGTACCAGGTCAAAGTGGATATAATAAGAAGCACTTTACAACATAAAATGTGTGGATGTAGATTAAACTACCAACTGTATATAAAGTTCATGTTTTTTTTTGTTGTTTTTTTTTTATGTTAAATCTTAATCTGGAACCTTACTTGTAACTACAGCTACTAATGTCCAAGGTATTCCTCTGAAATGTACCTCTACTTTCCACCACTGGTTGCAGATAAATGGCTGCGGGCTATTTAAGAAAACAGGTGCGCCTTCGACAGGTAACAGTGGAGAGACAGGAAGTAGACTCAGTTGTTGGCAAACACAAACCGATACGGAGCATTATTTCAGCACCAGAAATGAATATGAGGGCAGTGGGGAAATATTTTGGTAAGTTTCAGAAAGAGAAATCCTGACATCGCTGCTCAAAATGTTCGTTTTCGTCAGATATAACCTGTATTAGATTATAAAGGCCTACAGCACAGGAGGCTGGTGATAGCTAGGTTTGTGTACGGCCTTTTTATTATTAGAGAAATTGGCTCAAGTGTATCATAGAAAAGTAATTTAGAATGTAACACATAAGAGTTTAATCTGTTTTTAATTTGCAGACCGGCCTGACTGACGACATGAGACAACCTCTGCTTCTTATCAGTCTGTCCCTGGCAGGTAAATCCATTTGTATTCACACTTTCCATTTCTTCCCTCCTATTCCAACAGCTAACGTTGAAATGGTTCAAACAACTCACAAAAGCCTTTAAAGACGAGTATCGGTAGAGTCTGCACTGTAGGACAAAAACAAAACAAAAAAAACACAGGTCAGGGAAGAAAAGCTGTGGTATTCCAAGCACGTTTATAAAACAATCGCATTTGAAGCAGAAAGCTCGTCTTAAACCTGCGCGGCTGCATTCCCGTCTGTGTGCACAGACTACTGAACGACGTGGTGCCTTCAAGGTCTCCTCCCAGGCTCTTAGATCTGAGCTCTGGGGCTGATGCTGATTCAGAATGACTAGGAGGCTATTTCCTTTATGCCATTTGGTATTTTGCTGATAGGGATGGGCGAGACTCCAGTTTTTGAATACAGTAGGGAAAGGCTGCGTGGTTGTTGTGAATGCATGAACCACTGACCTACTACCAATACCAATACTTGACTATTGTTTGTTAAAATTTGACTTTAAAAGTGTTGTTATTTACTCTAGGTCAGCCTGCTTTATAAAAATCACAGGGCCCATCCTGGCTTGCACAACTACTACTATTATATTACAAACTTTTCAAAAATTTTGAATTTGATTTTGAATCAGTGTAATAGGCCGCATCAATATAAAAAAACATACACCGTCCCTCTGCTGTAAAAGAACATCATGTGTTTTACTTCGCAGATGAAAATAGTCCCTGGCTAATGCACTGTTTATTCCTGTTTGAGTAACATTTGCTAAAAACCATAATCACTAGCTGTTGGAAATGACCTACGGTAGCTCTTTCCAATAAATAAATAGATAAATAAATAAATAAACTATTTGTGGGCAGTTTCTCTACATGTGCCACAAACAACAATACAAATTAAAAAGTATTGACAGACAAAACACATTGTTAATTTTGGTTTCATTCATTCATTGACAATAACAAAATTATTATTTTACCCTTTAATTGCAATGCATTTTATATTTGTGCATAATGTGATTGTTAAAACAGTGTTGGATGCATAACAAAGAAAATATATATTTTAGGTATTTCTGCTGTTGCAGCAACATAAGCACATAAAATTATCAGTAGGAATGTAAATGATATTTTAATTTGTTCATTAACTAAGGGTTGGTGTTCATGCATGAAAGATAATAATTAAAGTAATAATCAGCAACATTCTAATATGTTTTTGCTTCTATCTATTGTCAAATAATTTTACAAAAATTGTAATTCAACCTACACTGTTCAGAAGATTTTTACATTTTCTATTCTAAATGCCTGTGGCTTGTCGCTTTCTCTGACAAACTCCCTCTGGTGCACAGACAGTGGTTTATTTTAAATTTCCAGAAACTGTTGGTAGTTTGGAACATGTGGAAGAAAATAGACAGTGTGAATGAACATTTATACCCATTTGACCCACCTATAGAAACCTAAAGTTCAGCAACAATAGACACTAAAAAACCTTTTCTGGCTGCCAGTTTATCTCTGAATTAACAATGGCAAAGAGCCCAGACGTCATGCCAACAACTGTAGTAACATTGAACTGATGATAAAATTGTAAACCACACAGTACAAATCACCTTCACAGTTATATAATTCATCCACTCTTACTGTACAATCATACTTGCAGCTAATATGAATGACTCTTCCAACCTTGGAAAAACAATCCAACATCGATACTGTGCTGCGTCACTCATGGGTGTTTCCCTCTTCTGACTCATCACTCTTTATCTTTCTGTCTAGTGAAAAAGCAACAAGGCGGTTGATATTTTCAAACACTGAAACACTTTTGTTGTTTTAACAACTCGGTGTGTGGGAACCTGGAATCCATCTTGCTGTTGGCTCTTGTCATTTTATTCTCCACTCCCCTGTGAAAACTGTGTAAAGGCAGTCCAGCGAGACTGATCAGGACCATATTGATTTGATTCACTATATATCATTGGCCAGAGCATTCTTGCGTGGTAGCTTTTATATGCCAGTAAAAGGCCATTGAAAATACATCCTGGGTTTTTCCTGCCTGAATCTAATACGAACACAAACAAGAGGGAGGAATGGCAGCCAAATGCAACAGCACAGATTTATTTTATTTTTTTCCCCATCTTCGCTCAGATATAGACTACAAATGGACAGCATACAACAGTTAAATGCCTCAATGTGTAAAATCAATGGTTCTTTACAATGTTGTTTTTGAAAAATTGCCTATGCACCGCTGATTCTTGAGAAGAGAGACGGCAAATATGATTTCGACACGGCTTACGTTAAGTCAGGCTAACAAAAACACAAAATAGATGTTTAGCTTGGGATCACTTACAATCCAAAAAACATGGTGTGAAATCTATGAGGAAGGAAAGAGTGTGTACCTAACTAATGGGTTTTTACCCCTTGAGCCCGGTCTTTGTGTATATATAGATTTTGTCCTCTGCAGTGAAAGAAGTATTTAGATCTATGCTTGAGTAAAAGTACCATTCAGTACATTCAATTCACAATAAAAAAAATTCAATAGCCTATATTTTGTGGGTTGTGGATATATAATTACTGTCTTGGGTTTAAGTACTTCATATACTGTTAGGTGGTTCAGTACAGTGGTTCCTAACAAAGGTGTCAAGGGGTCATGATCATGGATGCTACACAAATATTGGATAATTTGACCTTGTACTTAAATAAAGTACTTAAGTAAATGCACTTAATGAATTTCAACCACTGATTCTCTCTCCTTTTTGTGTTCTGCTTAGTCCTTTCTGCCAATGTGCTGGCTCAGGACCCGGTACAGATCGAGTTCCAGACAGACCCAGTGCTGGTTCAAACTGGTACTGATGTCGTATTCACAGTGCTGACAGTGTCCCAGGTCCTGTCCATGAACTGGCAGTACCAAGAAGTCCCTCTGGGTCTGTGGGCTGGAGGAGCCTCTGTGGTTAACCCGGTGCCCCAATTCCAGGGCAGGCTCACCATCTCTGCCACCCAGCTCCGAATCGGAGGTGCCCAGCTCCGAGATGCGGGGAACTACACGGTGGAGGTGACCCCCATTATTACAACCGGCCTGGTCGCTAACACCAGATCGATACAGCTGAGGGTGTTTGGTAAGAGATAAAGAAGTGTGCCTGCGACTTCATATAAGAGAGATGAAGAGGAGGGTGAGGGTAGGGAAGCTGGGAGGAGTGCTGTGGAAGAGGGAGGTTTTGAGGCAAGTGATAATGTTAAGGAGGAACGGAAGGAAGTAAAGAGAGAAGAGGGAGGATTTGGGGAGTAAGAGAATTAGTCTGGGAGGTATAATGAAATTAGTGACCCATAGTTGGCGACGTAAAATTAATGAAAAAGGAGGAGGGGATGAAGCGAGTGGCTCAGGGCTTTATGCTAATTAAATCTCATTTGATATGCAGTGCTCATGCTCTTAGATGTTTGATATTGTACCAGTCTAAATGTAGCGTCACATTTACATACAGTACATTCAGTAGGCTATTTGCATGCATTTATATTCAGTACTGTAATGGAGCCTGAACAGCTGAGTGTCTCTATTTTCAGTCACCAGCCCACGCTGGAGGGATGACGTGCAGTCTTCCTCATCCCTCTTACCACCTGTGCTAATGGGGTGGCAGGGCGTCCAATGGTTAGAAGCACTAGTCTATTATTGCTGAAAGGTCGCATCCTCCGAACTCACAACAGCTAGTTTATGTCACGGAATAGCCGGATCCTTGAGCACGACTCTCAACCTCCCACTTACTCACTCATAACTTACTCTGGAAATGAGAGAATCCTAAAAAAAAACTAAAAACTAAAATGCTTGCACTGAGTCACAGACAAGTGTACAGAAATGCAAGTGATTAGAGATATTTGGTTGTTGCTCAAACGATTTTTTTTTGGTTTGCTGTTGCTGCAGTGGTTCTCTTAGTCACAGCCTCCTCCGTCCGTACGCCCCCTCTTCTCCCTCTCCAATTATTTAACTTAGGCTGCCCGCCAAGAGGCATCTAGGCTACTACTCATACCGTCTGCCCCCTTATTCACCATCTGTGCCTCTATCTGAATCCTGTCCCTTCTCAGCTCTCACTTGCTTTGATTACCGCAAATTATCCTCAACAGAAATATAAAACTGCCCTCTATTGTTCTGTCACTCCAACTTTTGAAAAGAGCTCTCTCATACTCTGATGCTCTATACCTACACTAATAGTGCCTTTAGAAACCATTTCTGAGTAATTCTGCTTTTGCAGCTCTTCGATAAAACCTTTTTTACTCTCCCTGTAGATGCAGTGGCCGGGGTGAGTCTGTTTGTTCCCTCAATAGCGATTGAGGGGAAAAATGTGTCTCTGAGTTGTACGTGGACTGCTGGGACGGAGATTACAGTCCAGTGGGGCAAAGGAGGTGTAGCCATCACAGCCAACTCCAGGATTACCATCTCTGACGGCTCACTGGTCATCAACCCAGCCATACGGAGCGATACCGGGGAGTACACATGTACTGTCAGCAACCTCGTCAGCGCCCAAACTGCCACACAGAGCCTCACTGTCTACTGTGAGTTTGCACTAATCAAGACAAGCAGAAGCTAATCTGATGTAGCCCCTGCAAATAACAGTAGCTTATCTATTATCCACATTGCAAGGAATACAGTGTGCTGGATTGCACTTGGATTGCACAGGACATTTACCCATAAGCTTATTGTACTGCTTCTAGCTGTGTCTTGATCACATCCTTATTTCTGATTTGATAGTCTAGTAATATCGCAATCACCCCAAGAGCATAATAAAACAGCTCCACATTGTTGTCCTCTAACATCAAACAGAGGTTTCGTTCCCCAGGTGAAAAACACATCAGATTTTAGGTGTTGTTCAAATGCGCTGGGGCTATGCAAGTAATCTAAGTCATGTTAATTTTCAGTCACCACTTCCTGTGGCCACAAAAATGTTTATCGCCCACACCAGACTTTCATTTGTTCAAACAACAATGAAGTGAATCTATAATATCACAATCAAAGGGGCTGTTACAGTCTTGCTTTCTATTATAATTTTTTTCAATATGAAATAGACTCATGGCTACTCACAGCGCTACCTAGGGTCAACCATAGAAATGGCTCCAAAACTTAGATTTTTTTTCAATGACCTGCTCAGTCTATGAATGATCAGAAAATAGTGAAACATACCCCTCAGACTTTCCCTGAAGCTAAGGTAGCATCTTGAAATGTCCTGTTTTGTCTGTCCAACAGTCCAAAAACTCAAAGACAGTTGACTTACAATAATATGAAACAAAAAAAGCAGCAAATACTCACATTTGAGAAGCCAATCAGCAAATATTTTCCCTTTTTGTATGATAAATGACTTGAATGAATAATTGTATAATATCACAATTGCTTTCTATTGATCATTATAGTTTGACATTTTGGGAAATACGCTTATTAGGTCTGTTGCTGAGAGTTAGACGAGAAGATGTATACCACTCTCATGTCTATTAAATATGAGGCTGGAACCAGCATGATTTATCACGTCATTTATTCTCTGTTTTATCTGTATAAAAACTGAAGTGTAAAAACGATAAATTGCGGTTTAACAGGGGGTTGTGTGCTGGATTGTTTCTTGGACTATTTCCAGGTGTAGTAACATGTCTCTGTGAAGTATCCAGGCAACCAGTGGAATACAGCAAGCATAATTCTCAAAATATTATGCTCTAATTCCCAAAATGTTGGACTATTCCTGTAAGAAAACCGGTGTACCGTTTTTATTACCTCGTACAGCTTGAAATACAAGGCATAGTACACGGTACTATGTGTAAATTGTAGACTCACTAACACCAAACGTGAACAGCAGGCTGCAGTATCTTGTATGAGAAGTATCTCCTCATTATGCAGTACTTTGTTCAGCCTCTGGCAGAGAAGGGGCATTGCATTTCAAATCCTGCACAATCAGAAAAAAAAGTGACTTGTTGTTTCAAGAGGTGGCAGCCATTGTGATTTTTAGACTTAACATCTAACCAGAAAGTGCACAGCTCCTTCATTAGCTGAGTAATATGCTGACAACGTCAAAGAGGGCTCATCAAAATGCTTCAGCCAGAGGAGGTGAAAAATTTACAAAATGATAAGTCTTTTAGCAGAATACATAATCTGTGCTTTTGAACCAGCTTCTTTTGAATACAGATTTCCCTTGTTGTACAAAACGTTATTGATGCTGATGATGATGTCCTCTGATCATCACCAAACCAGATGGCCCTGACACCCCTGTGTTGACCAAGGAGACCCCAAAAAAGTGTGTCGGGGGAGGGGATGTGTTGGTGGGACAGACGGCGCGTCTCACCTGCATGTCTGACTCACTGCCCCCTGCCCTCTTCTCATGGCAATACAACGGACAGCCGGTCGCGTCCATCCAGCCGGACAGCGGGGTGCTCAGCATTCAGACTTTCTCAACCAATGAGAGCGGCCAGTACGTCTGCACGGCCAGAAACAGTATCACTGAAGCCACGTCGGAGCAGGGGACAGTCTTGGCCATCGTAGGTGAGTTATGGTGGGCGCTGACCTCTCTGTGACTGATAATGATGACGGTTGGTTTTGGAATCCGTCCCTGTATCTGTCTTCTCGACAGGAGAGGGACATAAAGTATCCTGGGAGATTGATCTGCTGAGAATGTGGTCAAAGTCATTCAGTGACTTTCACACATACTTTCTCCTCCCTTTATTTTCATTTCTTTCTCTTGCTGTCTCTCTCTCTGGTATTACTTTATCATCCTTTTTTAGAATCTTCCCCTCCTCTCCTCAATCTTTTTTTTTTTTTTTTGTTTCCTCCTCTTGTCTGTCTGAGCTCCAGACTCATTATCTTTATTAATTCTCCCCCTTTGACACCATTCTTTCTATTTCAGACACGTGTCTAAATGTAGGGGAAGTGGTGGGGATTGTGATTGGCTGTTTGCTGCTGATCATAATCATCATTCTCCTCATCGTGCTCATTGTCTTTCTCATACGAAGGAGGAGGGGTAAGTCTTTGTGTGCAATCATTTGTTTGTCCACTTTTCATTTCGTTGTTTTTTATGTTGAACCAAACACTTTTTGGTGATCTATATGTGCATTCAGAATTTATGTAATAGCTCGGTCACTAAAGTGATATATACATTTTTTGTTACTTCTATTATTACAGTACAACAGAGACAAAGAGACATTGCATTTGTGCCCAAGACCAACCCAAATCCCAGGCCTATAGTAAGCCCCAGTAAAGTTTACATATGATTCCCTATTGATTTTGTGTTTATCTTGCCCATGTGATGGTGCTAAAGGGCTTTTCACAAATTAACCCTCTCATTCCATTTTTCTTTTGCTGTCTCTTCTCTCCCTCCCATCATTTTTCATCTGCTCCCATTAAGCCTCCAGATCCACAACCTAATGGTGCAAGGGATTTGGGCCAAGGTCCCCATCCCCCCCTCTATCACACACACACACGCCACCCTGACCACTTATACACAAACCCGCGTGAAAACCGCAACAACCCACAGACGCTGCTGCCGAACGGCTTTCATAACTCAGACACACACCAGCACAATGGTCGACGAACCCCCACAAATGGACTCCTACACAATTCTATTCAGAACACCAATTCTTACCCACACAATGGCATTGACAACCCGGCTTTCACACACACTGATGCTCAGAATGCAAACACACTCCCGAACACACAGCAGCAAAATCATAACATTGTCATACAGGCTGGGGCTGCCCAGGGCGCTGCCCAGCCGCCAGCAGTCCACGTCAGCCTCAACACACAAAGTGCCCAGCAAAACAACAATGCACAACTGCCCACCATTCATGTCAATCTTAACTCATACCCAACCAATGGCCAACAGGCTCAGCAAGACAGCTCATTTCCTCTCACCAACACAACCAATAATAACGCTTCAGAAACCCAACAAAACTCATTACGTGCCATGCAATCAAATCCCATAATGCAAAGTGGGCAGTCCTATATTGGTGACCCCCGGCTGAATGATCACATAGAAGTAAGTCACCAAGGTCACCCTGAACTTATTCCAACTCGATACACACACTATAACAGTAATAACACTTCTCAGCGAAACGCCAATACACAGACGTACCAGCAGGAGCCACACCCTCATAGCAGGTCTGAGAGAAACTCAGGGAGACATGATGCCACTCCCAGCTCCTCCCGTCGACAGATGCCATGGGATCGCTTCCGAGGGACACCAGCTTATCCTGGAGGACAGACATCATCTGAGACCTCTGACACTACAGACTACACTACCCATCCTCCCATGCAAGGGGAAAGAACACCAAACAGATCTCAGCCTCGACCTCAGAGCCAAACCACTTTGCAGAGCAGAGCTCCACCCAGACAAGATGCACCATCAGTGGACAGACAGACAAGGAGCCGTACAACTGATCTTCGAGTCCCTAACACACGCAGTGTAACACAGCTTGAGGCTGCACACCACACACAGAGAAACCCCCGCACACAAAGGGAGAGTCCTCAGCGAGACATCAGAGGTTCGCCTGGTAGCCAGACAGCCCCCAGGCAGGAAGCCACACACAGCAATAACCCCCAGGCAAGGCCTCTCATGAGCCAGCAGGCCTCTGTAGGTCGCTTTGCTGTGTCACAAGGACCCATGACACAGCAGGGACTGACTGCACCACAGGGTGCAGATACAAGAGCTTTGGCTGATCCTAATCACCTTCCACAGGCACACATGGCCCAGCAACATAGAGCAGCACCAATCCAAAAACCACCACTAGGCCTGGGCACACAGACACAGGCTGTCATACATGGTGCCAGTCAACCTCGCCAAAGAGGCGCTGCTCCAGTCCCATACTCTTCTGCCCAGCCCAATCCCAGTAACCTAACCCAGGCTGCACTTACAGCCCACACTGAGAGGACTGAAACATTTCAGAATCGGAAACAACAGACCCAGGCTGCCTTGCTTCACCCCGGACCACAGGCACAAGCTCCTGCTGCTGGGGCTCAGCCCCCACCAACTCCTCCTCCTGTTATCCCCCTCACGCAGTTTCAGACCCTCCCAAAGAAGCACACCCAACACAAATCCCCAGTTAGAGGTCCTCAGCCCCCCAGACCTCCTGTTAACATACCGGTGTCTCAACGTCACCTACAAGTACAACATCGTCCCAATCCTGCCACAATGCCCACCAGCCATCATCACCATCATGGAAATGCCCACATGCATGTCGGTGCACACAGGCATGACCATGCCCGTGGCCCCGGGCACCCTGCCCACTTCACCCACCCACGGCAGGTGAGTGAGACACAGCGTGATTGTTTGAAACTGCAGCCAATAGATGCCATATGTTGATATTACAAATATCCAGCACATGGTTCTCTCTCAGATGAGCACTTAAGGCTGTCATGTCATACTTCCTCTGTACTTGCATGTGTGCGGTGTTATAGGCCTGCTTCTACCTACACTGTCTCCTCAACAGATTTGTCTGTAGTGTGTTATTCTTGAAGGATTTTTGACAGTACTTGAATTTCTACGATTGACAATCTTCTTGGTGCCATAAAAATGTATTTAGTCTTGAATGTTTGTGACACTGTGGCAGATTTTAAAAGTAGCATTGTATGTCAGAGGTTCTGCCTCTTCTTCTGCATGACATGTTGGCAATGAAAGGTTTGTTGTGTCTTTCCAGCAACAGGCTCACAGAGGAAGACCAAGATGATGACAGATGTCAGCAGACTACACTCCAAAATGTCCCGCATCCACTGACACAAACAAACAGCTGACAGACGTGATCCAATATACCACCAAGCAAGACTGACTGCACAATGTTGTGTACTCAAAAAAGCTGTCATTCCTTGCAATCTCAGTCCTAAAGTCATTTTTTTTTAATAAAAGATACAAACATGTCTCTCTTGGGGAGGCTTGGTATGCCCTTTTTTTGTAAATACACTAAATTAAATAAGGTAAGTTATACTGACGGATTTCCATATGAAATGATCCTCTTCTCTCCAGACACAAACACTCACACACACGCTGATACCTACACCCAGATGTATTGTACTATTTTGACTTCTGAAGCACTGGTCATGCATCAAACTTTGGCAAGAGCCTGCTCAGAGTAGACAGGTTCAGTGATCCATAGCTCTTGACCAGGCTCGCATCCCCTCATCCATTCATCATCTAAACTAAACAACACTACCTTGACAAAATGCATTTGAGGTGCTTGCATGACCATCTGTGTGCATCTGACACTTAAGGAGATCTAATAGTGACAGACCGTAAATGAGAAGGGACCCTGCACAAGATGGACTTGTCCCCTGGGAACAGTGACAATTATGAAAAAATAAATTAGGCGTAGGGGTGGTCTTAATGTACACGGACCTATTTATTTTGTGCCTTCTGTTTACAGATGCCTTTCATGACACTTCTCAATTAAGGGGATTCGCCTCAGTGGCACTCAGAAGTAATGCTCAGCTAACTATGAAGGGGATCCCATGAATGGATGGGCGCTTATTAATTAAATGCTTTTATGCGACTTAAATGACTTGGAAAATAATCACACCCGTGCATGAATGAGGTCAGCACAAAGACCTGAGCTGCCACGCTTTCTGCTGAAAAAGCACTGTGTAACAATTCACTGTCTGCACTGGGTCATGGACAGCACATTAAAAAACAATGAGATGTCATTATTACTTTTATGTATTATTATGTATTTATTGAATTATTATAATTGTGTTTGGGAGTATTTGTACAATTTATTTTTATTAGGTTGCACCAATTGATATCAATGTTTATTAATTTATACATTTTAATGATTATGCTGGTATTATTCTATATTTCTCTTATTGTCAAATCCCAAGATATAGTCACAGAAAGAAAGCTGTTAGTATAAGTCTGCCATTAGGTTACTATTTCAGTTTCATTCTCCTCCCTTCCTGCTGTCTTCTGACGCTATTGTGCAAGAGCACAGTTTCTGCATCCTGGCTTTAGCGCTGCCTAAGACAATTGTGATTAGTTTAAAGAAATACAAACAAACCAGTGTTTTTTTCCCCTCTACCAGAATGATAATGGGTTCAGCCAGACTACCCGTGACAAGACCAAAACCAACAATGAACAGATCTTTTTAACAAGTATTGTCCCTGTTGCCAAAATGTGATACATCTCATTCCTCCGTGCCGTAGAGCTCCATTGTTACTAATGAATACACATCAATGAGCCAAACAGTTGCGCTGTGTGACTTGGTCCATTATTTCCATAAACATGGACACTGTAGTTAAATAAAGCCAATTGAATGAACACTGTCGTGCTCCTGTAAATTCTCACTAGAGCACCCAATGTGTATTCATTCCTTGCTAAAAATAGTCCCCAACAAATGCCCTATTTATTGCTGTAAAAGCTAACAGTGTCCAGCTGTTGTAGGAAATTACTTAACCTTTTTTCAAAACCAAACTATAAATTTTAGACCTGTTTTGAAATATCTATGTCTTCGTTAGAAAATGTCTGAATACGTTTGACTTCCCTATCCTGTTTGTGGTTCTCAGAGATGGACCAATGCAGTTATTTTTTGGGACTTGTTGACGATGAGAAAACAGAATAATCCCAGTCTTATTGTTTAATATCAGAATACATAAACTCAACAGTTGAAAAAATGTTGTTTTTGAAAAGTGAATGCTTCTAAATAGTTTATACAGATGTTGATTGTTGATCATTTTGTGATTCTACAAGCACAGTATTTAACTTTGCTCCTCAGGAAGGATTTATACATTGTTTGGGGTTTATGAATTGTTCCAAGATCTTTTTTAATCAGTCATAATAAAAACATTTGTTTTTATGTGTGTTTGCATATAACTTAGGTGAAGTCTACTGTTGCATAAAGAACTTTCAAATTCTGCACATTGTTCATCTTATTTCCATTGAACTGAAAGTCGCTTGTCTAGACTATTCACAGCACAATGCACAATCATTATTTTATTTTAACCTCTACTTTCAAAGTGATCACATTCTCCCAAACACGAGGATCCTTTGATTGTCGGTACAAAATACCTCCTCATGCATGTTGACGGTAAGTTAGACCACAAAAGCACCTATTTATTCTGGTGTTCCTCTGAATCACACAGCAGTCTGAGCATATTTCTGCTCACTGTGTCTATAGTGCTAATTATGCATGGCGCCTGTGTACACCGAGTGCTGTTGTTGATTCTCCTCAGATGAATCTGTTCCTACGGCTTGTTGTGGAGGTGCAGAGCGTGTGTTTGGATCACAGCTTCATCAGTCTCCCAATCCCCTGCTCCCACTTGTACGTCACCTCTGATGAACAGTTCTGCTGCTCACTACTGGAGACACTTCACGGTAGTCTAGCACTGTAATGAGTGGAGATGGAGTGCATTTGAGTACCTGGTACTAGAGAAGGTTACGGCATTGCCTACCAGTTCCAGATGAAAGCTCTGATTTATGAAAAGTTTGGAGCAGTTTTACAAATGCAGTACTTTGTATACTATACTGTTCCTGCTGTCTTTGGCGTGAAGTGTGTTGTTTATGACCTAAACAACTGAAATTACAAGATGCTCTGTAGTCTTGAAACACACAACACGGTAAACTTCAAATGCTGATGTGGCCACCTTCCCTGGGCCAATTTGCATGTAAATCTGCTTTTGCTGTTTTAGTACACTGATTTACTGTGATTTACTGTGACTGCCGCAAGTAATTGTAATTGTTTACGCATCCCTTTGGAGGCATAAATTAAAGGCAAACATAACTCAAGTGCAGTGTGTGCAAATAGGGCATTTTTTTGTACTGATGAATGTTCTTTTTGGTGTGTGTCAAACTGCAGCAGCTTTCTTTCTTGACTCAAGTGTGTGTGTAAGTGTGTGTGTGTGTGTGTGTGTGTGTGTGTGTGTGTGTGTGTGTGTGTGTGTGTGTGTGTGTGTGTGTGTGTGTGTGTGTATAGAGCCAGTGTTGATTTTACTCAGGAGACTGCAGTAGATTTGCACAGGAAAACTTAATACCACAAGATGGCCAATATAATCCTAATCCAATTTCAAATTAAATTCAGTCTAGCTCAGCAGGCGCACATATTTCTTTAGATTTGATGGCATTTTATAGATTGAAATAACATAGGAAGTGCCATAAGGCCCAGACAGAATTTAGTCCAATTACCTGACATCTCCAAATGAATGAAAATTCATGATGCTGCCTTTCTTTTGTTCACTGTAGTGATAGTGGGTTTTCTCCACCACCAGGGAAGGAAAGAGATCAGGCAAGATAGTCCATATCATCATTGAAATGAACTGGTAAGTCCTTTGAGACCCATGTCCATCCCTGTCATAGTGTCCTTGAGCAAGACACTGAACTGCTGCCTCTGTGTGGTGACCCCCTTTAGTGAAATGTCACATGAATATGAGTCACAGAGGAATAGGAAATGAAACAAATTTATGATTAAACTTTGCACACCAGGGCAGCAGCAAAAAACCCTCAACATTTTAAGTGTGACAGCATGACCCTGAATTTACAGCTTCAGTCTGTGCCACAGCCATCCATCCAGTCATGAATGTCCTTGAGCAGGACAGTGAATCCCCAACAGTTCACTAACTGTAAATCGCTCTACATGGGAGTGTCTAAAATGTAAATCATACGCCAAAACTGCACTGTGGCAGCCATGGACTCTGTGCCTTGTCATCCCACAAGGGGGAGCCATGTGAGAGGATTTTTGAGGTTATCTATTGATCAGTCTCCACCATTTGTTTTTCTCCTCAAGGCCTTCGCCATCTGTGCAACTTTGATGGTGAGTACTGAAATTAGAAAACCAGCCATAGGCAAAGTTTTTCTTGTCTGCAGTCCAGCACACTAAAAGCACAGGAAAAAAAATATAGTCATGTGTATCAACAAGGTAATCCTCAGTTGTGACAGGCTTGTTTATACAGTAGATGCTTAAAGGTGAACTGCTGCCTTCAGGGATACATATCAAACACAATAACTTCAAAGAGTTTGTGTTTTATCGTAATCTTTTGTTGATTCAATTGAGCGTATCATGTTGTGTTTCACATTGCACCATGCCTTCTCTTTCAAATAAAGACAGGCTTTTTTACTGATATTCTCAGGAAAAAACCCAAGAAGTCTGTGTAGAAATGTGTAGCGTTTTAAAGCTTTTTCAACAGATCTTTGACATCCTCTGTGGCATTGAAATACAACAATGACACTAGTGTAGTGTAGGTACACAATGAACAGCAATGAAATTACTGATGATGAAACTGCACCAATAATAGATATCACACCTACATCACACACATTAAATTCCACACCTAGTATTCTAGAAAAAACGTTCACAAGTTCACAACTCACAAACTGAGACCACAGACGAGAAGTGGTTATAAGAAGAAGAGTGCACGGATATCTTCTGTTAGAAGTTCAAAGAAAGAGCTGTTTCTTTCGAACTGCTGCACACATAGTTCTTTTCATAATTAAGCCATGTGTTACAGCAAAAATCCAAAGTCAGCAGAAAGAAGAAAGATGATTGTACAAAACAGAGCAGATGCATGAGTCATTAAAATGTGTGCCAACAACAGAAAGGAAAGAATCAGTTAGAGGAGGATTGTACTTAACAAAAGCGGGTTCATGCTTTATGTTATTGTAAATTGCATGTTTCGTTTAGTGTTTGTTGGTCAGTTTTCTATGTATGTGAAGCTCTGTCTGTTGAATTAGGGTTGCTGCATTGAAGATTCCTGTACAAAAACAAGTTGATGGATGTTACACTACTGTTAAATCTTCTTGCAAAGCGAGACTATGTAACTTTTGCTGAATAGCGTCCATAAGTGACATTTAGGCAGCAAAGATAAATGCTTAAAAACGTAGTGTAACACTAGCACATGTAGAGAACAATCATAAAGTAAGTGAATTGCATCGAAAGTGAGATCGCTAATATTAGCCAGCATTGACCACACTAGACCAAGTGAGGCTATATCAGCAAAACCACTCGGGGTGGTGACTTGAGCAACGGTGTGGTATATTTCTGACAAATATTTTTTTCTTTTCATCTCTAAGAAGACAAATGTGCCATTTCCTCTTTCAAAAGTGACATAGTTTTGCGTGCATTGCATGCACAACATACTCCAGTATATTGTACAGCCTTACCCAGGCTGTGCATTCTACAGGCCAATTAACCAACCCACACATCTTAAAAAAAGATAAGAGAATAGCTCAACATACCAACCAGAGATCAGAGGATGAGTCCAGTAGCAAACCTGCAGTCCATGCAGAAAACCAGCTCACAGAAGTTTCACGGAGTGCTGCGCGCTGTACTTTGTGATGATAATTATGGGAATGCATGAAGAAAAAGAGAGAATTGAGATTGCTTGGAGTTCAGCCTAGCCCCACTCTTTTGACAGTGGCATGGTGAGGTATTGTGCTGTATGTGGCAGTAGGAGCCTCTTTAAACAAGCAGGCCACTCTCTGTCCTACATGCCATGCCTGCAGCAAAGACCCACATACCTTTTATCACAGGGTCCTTGGTGGCTCTTTAAATACCCTGCAGGACACAGGCTATCCTCTGCTATTAGGTTTACTTATATTTAACATGACACTGGCTGGATAGATTTCATTCACCTCTTGCCTGGTTTACCACACACACAATCCAAAATATTCAGACTAATCCAGAAGCCAAATTAGGGATACATTTGGAAAACCTTTCGCTCCGTGGGTGTTTGTTAAAGCCTGACCAGTACAGGAAAAGCAGGGATCTCTCAAACTCACTTATCAAAAAGAGTCATGACAAAGATATCGTGCATGTACTAAAGGCAGGGTGTTTTACAGCTGAACTACTGTACAACTGCACCAATATCTGCACAGCTGCAGCTGCTGATATGCTGCCCTGCCAGTTCCCGTGCTATAGAGTACTATAAACTACAGAGTCTGCTAAACAATGCTGCCACTGTTTCTAAATTACCTCACATGCTCTTCCTGCACCGTGTACTATATGCATTTTCAGCCATCATCCATGCCAACACATTTATCAGTAATCTACTATCAGCTGATAGTACTAGTCAGCCTCTTGTGTACATCCCGGCATCCTCATTAAATGGAGTCTGTGGCCCCCTTATGTGAATGTGTGTTATTTGATATGGATGGGTTGCCCTACTTATTGGGGCTCTGCAGCTCAGCTTGACTACTTTTAAATTCTAAATATATCTTTTACACCCGCAGGAGGAATTGAGAAATTCATTTCGGTTGACAAATGTGTCAATCAAATCCATTATCTCAGAAATAGAAACTCATTAAACATTTCTGATTGCAGTATGAAGTCAAGTCAAATGTATTTGCATTGTCACATTTATAGTCTAGTTCGTAAACAATGAATAAATATATATTAATGATGATAATCTCCAAAGTAATTTTCAAAAATAACATGTTGAGTAGAGTTTTTAAAAACTGCTTGTACACTGTAATAATTTGTTTTACATAGGAAGTTCACAATAAAATATTACCAAAAAAATCCTATTAAATCATGAAAATTAGATGGATATATTTGGAAGGATCTGAAATTGCCAGTATGTTTATTTTTCAGAACTGCTTGTTGGATGGGTCAAACCCCCTCTGCTCGCACTGACATCTGTGTCTGATCATTTCTGTACCTTTCTGAAACTGATAATCTTACATTCACACCCAATCCACCCTATGATTGGCCAGCTGTGCAGGTGAGAGAGTAGTTTTGAGCTTCTATTTGTCCCTTTTTATGTGAACCGCACTATGAATGCCTTCCAGACGAGACTGTCTGTCTGAAACAGCGTGCCATTATCCTCATATACACTATAGGAGACAGATAATAAAAGATATCACGTCTCTCTCCTCTTGGTGGTTCCATGGTGGTAGTGGGGAAAAGTAGGTGATATGTAACTTTGC